ATCACATTTCATATGACAATGCAGCAAAAAAGATAAATAGTTTTTAAGAAAACCATCTTCACTCTGGAGACCCCTAGAAGGGTTTCTGAGATCCCAGGTGCCTCTGGACCACTTTGACAAAGGTTGCTGTGATGCATTTTCTTGGGGTTCAGAAATGTCACAGAAGATTCCAGATTTGTTCCCAGCCAAAAGAGTGAAACTAAGGTTTATGTTTAGGAATTGCTTAAATGGAGCTGGGCATTGTGGTTCACTGAGTCCGGCCACTGCTTGGGATACCCACATCCTGTACGGAAGTGCCTGGGACCAAGCCCGGCTACTCCGCTTCTGGTGCCGCTTCCTGCTGGTGCAGCCTGGAAGGCTGGGGCCCGTGCCTCCCACACGGCAGACCTGCGTGGAGTTCTGGGCTCCTGGCTTTGGCCTGGTCTAGTCCTGGCTCTTGTGGGCATTTAGGGGGTGAACCAACAGATGGAAGATCTCTTCTGTATCTCTCTTTCTCTTTCTCTCTCTATCTGTCTGTCTCTCATTCTGCCTCTCAAGTATATGAAAATAAAGAAACGTTTTAGAAAAAGAACTACTTAAATGTTTTTCAGTTGCATCGTAATAATAAGTAATAACCCAGAGGAAGTATTTTTCCAGTTTCGATGTGTCTGTGTGTTTTGATGGCCAAGAAGCATCATAGCAGGGGAATAATCACAGACTTTGAAACACGTGCATGCCTGCGTGACGGAAAACAGGCTGCTGGGAAGGGCTTGCCCCAGTGGGCGATGTCCCCATCAGGGTACTCACAGACATCAAATTACACCCTCTGCAGCTGTTTAAATTACAAAAACGTTGAGAATGCAAACCTCAAAATCTCTGAGAGGCTACACATATTTTTAAAAATTATTTATTTGTGAGACAGAGAGTGAGTGAGAGAGCTCCCCTATTGATTCACTACCCCAAATGACTGCAATAGCCAGGGTTGGGCTGAAGCCCTGGGAGCCTGGAATTCAATCCAGTCTTCCACATGGGTGGCAAGGACTGACCCTCTTGAGCCATCAGCTGCTGCCTCGCAGGGTGTGCACTAGCAGGAAGTTGGAATCCCGAGCAGAGCCAGACTAGAACCCAGACTCTGTGATACGTGTGGAATGCAGACATCCCAATCTGCATCTTAGCCACTGCACTAAATGCCTGTCCCCACATATATTTTTGAAGCTTCATTAGAAGACATAAAGTCCCCGGAGGCAGAATTTTCAAAGAAGTTATTTTATAGATGTGTATAATGATTTTGAAATAAATATTCTTCTTCATAAGTATTCTCTATATTTTAATTTTATTTATTTTTAAAGATTTTTTTTAAAAATTTGAGATGCAAAGTCACAGAGAGAGAGAGAGAGAGAGAGAGAGAGATCTTCCATCTGCTGGTTCACTCCCTCAGTGGCCACAACAGCCGGAGCTGGGCCAGGCCAAAGCCGGGAGCCAGGAGCTTCTTCTGGGTCTCCCGTATGGGTGCAGGGGCCCAAGCACTTGTGCCATCTTCCACTGCTTTTCCCAGGCCATCAGCAGGGAGCTGGATTAGAAGTGGAGCAGTCGGGACTCGAACTGGTGCCCATATGGGATGCTGGCACCAGAGACACAGCGCCAGCCCCCATTAATAAGTATTTTCTAAACACCACACAAATAAGTAGCAGTTTCATCTCTCACACACACAGAGGTCAACAAACTACAAAAAGAGGTGGCTCCTGTCTGGGATTTCAGATTCTTGAGCCCCTTATTTGTCAACAGTTTAATTAAGCAATCCAGTGAATTTAGGGTTTCCCTCCAGCCTAAGGGAAGCACACTCCTCATCTTGGAAAAGTAAGAGCCTGTGAGGTGCCCATCACCTTCTCAGTGAGACATTGGAAAGATGAAAGGTCACCGCCAATTCGCGGAACAGAACTAGCTTTGTTTTTCCCAATCAGGAGATCACAGACACCCGGGGCAGCCTGGGTAAAAATAAATAAATAAATAACAAAAATCCACCCACACTGAATTTTCTATGTACATTTAACCACTCAGCAGAAGTATTGGTGTCAAAGAGATCCAGTTTTAATAGGGGTAACTTTGTCTTTTTTTATGGGCTGGTGTTGTGGCACAGTGGGTTACGCCACCACTTTTGATGCCAGCATCCCATATCAGAGTTAAATTAGTTCAAGTCCCGTTTGCTCCATTTCTGACCCAGCTCCTTGCTAATGCACCAGGGAAGGTAGTGGAAGGTGGTCTGAGGGCTTAGGTCCCTGCCACTCACTTGGGGGGCTGAGATAGAATAACAGGCTCCTGGCTTCAACCTGGCCCAGCCCCTGACATTGTGGCCATTGCGGGGAGTAAACCAGTGGATTGAAGATGTAATTCTGCCTTTCACATAAATAAATAAATCTTTCTTAAAATAACCTTTAAGGAGTCATGGCATTGTGGTGCAACAGATTAAGCCACCACCTGCAATGCTGGCATCCCACATGAGCACCAGTTTGAGACTCTGCTACTTCACTTCCAATCCAGCTCTCTGCTATTGCACCTGGAAAGCAGTGGAAGGTGATCCAAGTGTTTGGGCCCCTGCCCCCAACATGGGAGACCAGGATGGAGTTCCAGGTTCCCGGCTTCAGCCTGGTCCAGCCCTGGCCATTGTGGCCATTAAGGGAGTGAACCAGTGGATGGAATATTCTGTCTGTATCTCTCTCCCCCACCCCCATAACTCTGCTTTTCCAATAAATACTCTTTTTTAAGATTTATTTATTTATTTGAAAGGCAGAGTTACAGAGAGGCAGAGGCAGAGAGAGAGAGAGAGAGAGAGAGGTCTTCCATCTGCTGGTTCACTCCCCAAATGGCCGCAATGGCTGGAGCTGTGCCAATCTGAAGCCAGGAGTCAGGAGCTTCCTCCAGGTCTCCCACGTGGGTGCAGGGGCCCAAGGACTTAGGCCAACTTCTTCTGCCTTCCCAGGTCATCAGCAGGGAGCTGGATCAGAAGTGGAGCAGCTGGGATGTGAACCGGTGCCCATATGGGATGCCAGGGTTGTAGACGGCAGCTTTACCCGCTACGCCACAGCACCGGCTCCGTAACTTTCATCACATCATCTTAAGGGTCCAGCCCATCAACAACATGCATCCTTGTTGGCATGAACCTTGATCATCCAGTTCAAGTCATCATTATTAGTTTCTCCATTCTGGAGTGTTTCCTCCCCTCAATCCACTCTCCAAAATATCGCCTTTGGAAGGAAGTCGCTGTGCACAGCCACACAGAATGAGTGGAGATTTGTGCTCCATTTCTTTGAGCATCCACATAAAGTCTTTGCAGTTCTTCTGCACAAGAAATATATATATTCACCCCTATTTATTTATCACTTATTTATGTCAGTATAGACCCAAGGATATTTATTTTGTACTTTGGGTTATAATCCGATGCTATTTTATTGATTTTTCTTGCTCCAGTTTGTTCTAGCTTTGGCCACTGAGAACTCTTTGCATTGAAATCTTGTCTCTCTGACATACCCCAACCTTGCTTGTATGCATGTGTGCATGTATGTGTTCAGGTAAGCATGTGTAGGCATGTGTGTGTGCGTGTGTGTGTGTGTGTGTTATAGTTCACTGCAGACTCAGCTTCTAATCAGCCATTTCTCTGAGGAAGCCTGATTCCACGTCTTGGAGAATGGTGTTAGAAACCAAGATCTGGGGGTCAGCCCTGTGGTGTAGTGGGTTAAAGCCTTGGCCTGCAGTGCTGGCATCTCATATGGGCACTAGTTCGAGTCCTGGCTGCTCCACTTCCAATCCAGCTCCCTACTAATGTGCCTGGGAAAGCAGTGGAGGAGGCCCAAGTGCTTGGGCTCCTGTATTCACATGGGAGACCCAGAAGGAGTTCTTGGCTACTGGCTTTGGATTGACTCAGCTCTGGCCATTGGGGCCATTTGGGGAGTGAATTAGCACATGGAAGATCTCTTTGTAACTCTTTCAAATAAATAAAATAAATCTTAAAAAAAAAAAAAACAACATCTGGGTAACCTTCCTTTCTATTTAAAGTGAGTGAATCAATCATTATTGTTTTTATTTCAAGATGTCTTGAAACCTCTGAAATGATAGACTTTTCTTCATTTAACATGAGTGTCTCCTCTTCAAGTAGTCTTAATGCCTTGTATTTGTATAATCATTCTTTGGGAACTTATCAGCTTTTACTCAGTGCAGCAAATCATTGGACATATTTTAAATTGTGGGTTTCGTTATTGGTTCTGGTATTCTGAAGTGTACATGGCATAGTGACATAGTAGTATGAATGGGGGTATGTATACCCCATAGTTGTATGAACTCAGAGTCCGCTTTTTAAAAAAGATTTATTTATTTATTTAAAAGCTGGAGCAATGGAGAGAGAGAGGGAAACACACACACACACACACACACACACACACACACAAAGGTCTTCTATCCACTGGTTCAATCCCCAAATGGCCACACAATAGCCAGGGCTGGCCCCAGCCAAAGCCAGGAGCCCGGAACTCTATCCAGGTCTCCCACATGAGTGCAAGGGCCAAGCACTTGCACCATTTTCTACTGCTTTCCCAGGTGTATTATCAGGGAGCTGGATCAGAAGGGGAGCAGCCAGGACTCAAACCAGCCCTCTGCTGTGGGATGCCGGTGTCGCAAAGCAGCGGCTAACCCTGCTTCACCACGACGCTGGCTCCAGAACCCATATATTTTTTTTTCATGCTGGGTCCTGTGATTCTTGTATCCTCTTGAAGTCATGGAGAAGTTTCACTGATAGCGCTTCATTACATAATGTCTCACCATTACAGATCGGAGTGCATGAGAACAGCTGTGTTGGGGACCTGCACTGACTTGGTCTTGCTAGGTTTAGCCCCAGGATTGTTTCTCTATGGCCAGCACATTTATGCCTTGACGCAGTGGACCAAGAAGTGAAAGCGCCCCTCACCACAGGATTCTGACGGGCAGGAGGCTGTTTCTCTGCACCTGGTCTCACGGGTCTGCTTCCACTCCAGGTCTGACCGAGGCGGCCATCTTCAGCTGCGAGGCCCACAACGACAAAGGGCTGACTGTGTCCAGGGGTGTGCAGATCAACATCAAAGGTGAGTAGCAAGGCCAGATGGGAGGTGGCAGGGGCCCCAGCGGGAGTGCCGCAGCCAGCTCCCTGGGTTCGGGTACCAGCTTTCCCTCTGCGGGTGCTTGTGACCTTGTCAGACAAGTCGCTTGGGCTATTTGGTTTCAGTGTTCCCTTCTGAAAAGTGGAACATACCTGTTGCTCAGACTTAAAAATTGAATGCAAGGAAAAGCACTTGCAACAGTGTCTGGCCTGTTCAGTCTTTGGGTTAGCTCTGCTTAGAGAAGAATACAAGATACAATGTTTACCCTTTTCGCCCCTGAACTTGTCATTATTAACCCTTAAAGAGCCCTGGCCAGGGCAGCCTGGGGACATTGATCCAGGGGATGCCCTGACACAAGCCTCTGTCAGCTGCTAACTTGGGGTGGGGGAGAGAGGAGGAGGAGCAGAGAGCAGTCAGCCTCCTCTGCAGGCACCTGCTGCTTCCACCCCCCTCCCTCCTAATCCCCCCTCCCTCATGCTTCCTCTGACCTGGGATTTTCTACCATTAAAGGAACGGGTTTGAAAGATCCTTAGGCTGAGGTGATCCCATCCATCTACCATATTCTTCCTCCTATGTGATCTAAAATGTTTAAATTTGAAACTTGAAAGAAGGAGTTATTGTCTTTTCTTTTTATCTGTTCTCAAATCATCCTCCTTACTGTCATAGAAATTCACGCCAATTTGATGGCTTACTGATTCATCTGAACTTAGATCTTGAGCGGTCCTTGTTGGGTTTGTGGGCCTTTCACCTTCTCAGGGAAGCAGTGCGAGAAACAGCAGAAGGAGTTTCACTAAGAGTTAACAGTTGGGTGCCTACGCAGGGGCCTGAGTTACAAAGGAAATACTCAAAATAAAATCTAACAGATGAACACTATGAAGGGCGTTTTCCAAAAGTCCATTGGAATAAAAAAACGCACAAGGAGGAAGTGTATAACTTCCTTCCTTCATTACAAATCCCATCATTACGGTTTTCAAAGATATGTTGGGAATTTCAGAAATGCACAAGTGGGTGTAAATTTGTAATGATGTTCTCATAAAGTATCGACGTCTTAACATTAAAAATGCATGAAACAATCAGCACTTCTTTAATTTCATGCTTTGCACAGGATCTCTACTGAGACTTTTTTTTAAAAAATATTAAATCCTGTTTCTCAAACTTCTATTTTTGGCTTTCATTTATTTTAAAATTTATGTCAAAGCAACCAAGTCTCCCTTCTTGGACTCTGTAATTATTTCGGTCTTTGTGGTCCAATTCTGATGTGGAAATGTGGATACTTGAGGGCAGGTCTACAAATAATCTGTGTAGGGACGAGAGTCCTGCAGTAGGCTGACTGCGCTCCCTTGCCAAGCTGCGTGTCTTTTAGTAAAACTGAAGTTCCTGAGCAGGGGGCCTGGTGCACACTTACGTGGTCCCAGATCGCCTTCCGCTCACCTCCTGTCTACGCCATCATCCCGTCCACCACCGCCCCTGCCCAGGCCTCATCTGCGTGTGGCCTCATTCACTGCCCCTGCCGCCCCAGGAGCAATACTGGTGTCATCGCCACCTGGAAAAGAGCAGGGATGTAACCAACCCCAGGGCCACGTGGCTGGGTAAGTGGTAAACCAGCCTCCCCAGTCCCTGCTGGTGCTCACGCCAGTGTGCTGGCTGCCCCCTCGTGGGACACAGCCTCTGGTGTCCTGTCGGGTAGAGGGACAGACCTCAGTTCTGGTCCTGTTCTGCTAATGACCTCCCAGGGACCTTTGCCAAGTTGTCATTTCGCTGGTCCTCATTTTGCTCATCCGTGCATGGAATTGGAAGATTCTAGCAATGACTGAGGGACGAGAAGCTCAGAGTGTCTTAGTTAAGTACCCAAGAATGATAGTTGTTGTTTTTACTGGAAGTGTCATTATGATTAAGAATTAAATTTAGGCCGGCGCTGTGGCTCACTAGGCTAATCCTCTGCCTGCAGCGCCGGCACACCGGGTTCTAGACCTGGTCGGGGCGCCGGATTCTGTCCTGGTTGCCCCTCTTCCAGGCCAGCTCTCTGCTGTGGCCAGGGAGTGCAATGGAGGATGGCCCAAGTCCTTGGGCCCTGCACCTGTGTGGAGTCCAGGAGAAGCACCTGGATCAGCGCGGTGCGCCGGCCACAGCAGCCATTGAGGGGTGAGCCAATGGAAAAGGAAGACCTTTCTCTCTGTCTCTCTCTCTCTCATTGTTCACTCTGCCTGTCAAAAAAAAAAAAAAAAAGAATTAAATTTAGTATAAGGAATTAAGAGTTCTCAAACCGCAGATCCTTCTTAGCTCCTAACTGCAAAAGCTGCCCTTGATCCCAGTCATCTGATGTCACTACACACATGATGTGCACACAACCTCGCCCAGCAAATGCAGTTGGCTACACACACACACACACACACACACAGACACAGCACCTCCCTCCTCTGGGCACAGCATGCTCTGATCCTTGGTTGACGTGGGTCTCCCCATCTGGGCAGTACACTCTACACTCCACGAGACAGGGCTCTGATCCCTTGCCCCCTACCTCGCATACTGGAGCCCAGCCAAGTGGCCACACGGAGTAGAGCTGAGCACGCATGCTTGGTGAAGGAGCCGAAAGCCTCCTCACTTCACCAGTGAGCAGGAGAGTGGGCCAGCGGTCCGCTTCTCAGGCCCAGGCAGAGCTGTCGCTTCCCTAGAAGGTTTATCTGCAGGTGCATGGGATAACCTCATTCACCTGCTCATTCGCTTGCTCACTGAAAGCAAGTTCCCTTTTGCTCATCTCATGCAAACAAGGTTGGTGGGAATGCACCTGCCTGGCTGTGTTTTGCAAGTGTGTCTGCATGTGTGTCTTTGTTTTTACCTAGCGATTCCCTCCCCGCCTACCGAAGTCAGCGTCCACAACAGGACTGCGCACAGCATGCTGGTCTCCTGGGTCCCGGGTTTTGATGGCTACTCCCCGTTCCGGAACTGCAGTGTTCAGGTAACTCTCCGGAAGAGGGAAGTCGTTGTCTGCTGTTCTGGGGGGCCACCTCATTTTCCTGCTTCCTGAGGATGGCACTGAGGGCATTTCCCCAGCTCTGCTCAGCCCTGTGACCTGCCCCCTGCACCGTGTGCGCCGTGCACACCAGATGTCATGGTGCTCTATGTGAAGTCATTTCCTTCCCCTGCATGGTCCATGACCCAACCAGGAGAGCAACCTGTGTCCGAGGGAGAATGAGCCTCATCCGTAGATGAGGGCTGTCTTGTGACCAGCAGTGCAGGCTGCCGGGTGCTCCTCACGTGACTCCCCCAGCGCTAGTGCCATGCAGGACAGATAGGCCAGCACGTGAGGGGCCATCTGCACTATCGAATGTATGGGGAGCACCCTAGCCAGCGTCTCCTGGGGAAACCTGGGGATTACGGGCCTTGCAGAGTCTTCAGCCACTTGTAACCACTATGTGAAACTGGTATGAAACTGTGCTGTAAGAAGTATAGGTTAGCCATCCCAAAAAATAGCTTGCCATGATGGAAGCTCTGCTCCTGAGTGTTCATTTCCTAAAAACGGAAACAGTGGCAATAACCCTGTTGCTTACCAGGTGCCCACAATGGCCCAGGAGCTTTTGCAGAAATCGTCTTGCTTAGAGCACACCCCCACTGCGGGCTCAGAGCACTCACACCGACTATGAGTGGCAGACCTGGAGTTCAAGGCCAGGAAGCTCTGGATCCACAAGCAGAGCTCAGAGCCACCTGCCACCCTGTGCAGGACACTGTGTGTGGGAACAGGTCCTCAAACACCTCAAGACTAATTACCTGCTGAAATATATGAATTCGTTCTGCTTTGTACTTCATCACACAGCACAGTCAGGAGTGGTTCTCAGGTTCCTAAATGTCTGATCTGATTAGTTAAAAACGTGTTAGCCTGAGAAGGCAGTCATGCCAACCCAATTTAGAAAGTGACTTCCAAAGAATTTTGTGTTGACAACCAGATGTTTTTAATGCCAAGTAGAATTAATTTCTCTGTTATTAATGCCTCCCACTCTTATCTAACAGCTGTTCCTTCTCTGAAGAATAAAAAGCATATTATCCCCAAAATAGCCTCTCCCTCACCCCAACCTCTAAACATTCTTACTGTGTCCACAATTCCCCACCAAAGAGATCCCTTTTTAAGAAATATTTCGGCCAGCGCCATGGCTCACTAGGCTAATCCTCCGCCTTGCGGCGCCAGCACACTGGGTTCTAGTCCTGGTCGGGGCGCCGGATTCTGTCCCGGTTGCCCCTCTTCCAGGCCAGCTCTCTGCTGTGGTCAGGGAGTGCAGTGGAGGATGGCCCAAGTGCTTGGGCCCTACACCCACATGGGAGACCAGGAGAAACACCTGGCTCCTGGCTTCGGATCTGCGCAGTGCGCCGGCCGTGGCGGCCATTTGGGGGGTGAACCAACAGAAGGAAGACCTTTCTCTCTGTCTCTGTCTCTCTCTCTCTCACTGTCTAAATTTGCCTGTCAAAAAAAAAGAAAGAAAGAAAGAGAGAGAGAGAGAGAGAGAGAGAGAGAGAGAGAAATATCTCGTTTGGAGGTCTAATTCACATACCATAATTGTCACCAATTTAAACTATACAATGCAATGATTTTTAGTATGTTCATATGTGCATCCGTCTGTATTCAGAAGAGATAGTGGCCTGTTGTCTGTTTATGATAGCTTTTTCTGGTTTGGATATCAATGTAATAATGGCTTCATAGAATGAGTTGAGAAATATTCCCTTATTTTCTATTTCTTGGAAGAGTTTGTAGAAGATTGGTTAATTCTTAAATATTTAGTAGAATTCACTAACAGAGCCATCTGGTCCTAGGATTTTTCTTGTTGGGAAGTCTTTTGAATCTTTTTCCTTGGAATGGATCTATTCAGATTTTCTATTTCTTCTTGAGTCAGTTTTAGTAATTTGTGTGTTTCTAGGAATTTGACCATTTCATCTAAGTTACTTAATTTCTTGTTATGCAATTGTTCATAGTAGCCCACTGAATCCTTTTTATTTCTTTTTTTTTTTTCCTTTTTTAAAAGATTTATTTATTTATTTATTTGAAAAGCAGAGTTACAGAGAGGCAGAGGCAGGAGCCAGGAGCTTCTTCCAGGTCTCCCATATGGGTGCAGGGGCCCAAGCACATGGTTCATCTTCTTCTTTTAATATTCTTTTAAATATTTCTAAAGATTTATTTATTTATTTGAAAGAGTTACACACAGAGAGGAGAGGCAGAGAAGGGAGGGGGGGTCTTTCACCCGCTGGTTCACTCCCCAACCAGCCACAACAGTCCGAGCTGTGCGGATCCGAAGGCAGGAGCCAGGCGCTTCTTCCAGGTCTCCCACACAGGTGCAGGGGCCCAAGGACTTGGGCCTTCTACTGCTTTCCCAGGCCATAGCAGAGAGCTGGATCGGAAGTGGAGCAGCTGGGACTCAAACCGGCACCTGTATGGGACGCCAGCACTGCAGGCGGCAGCTTTACCTGCTACGACACAGTGCCGGCCCCAAGCCATCTTCTACTGCTATCTCAAGCCACATTAGAGTGCTGGATTGGAAGTGGAGCAGCCGAGACTCGAACTGGCACCTGTAAGGAATGCCCACACTGCAGGTGGTGGCTTTACCTGCTACACCACAGTACCAGCAGCTCCAATCCTTTTTATTTATTTGAGATAAGTAGTAGTGTTCTTTCTTTCATTCTTGATTTTAATAATTTGTCTTCTTATTATTACTATTTGGTATAGTTAAAGGCTTATTTCCTTTAATGATTTTTAAAAATTCATCCATTACCGATGTCAGACCCGTATACTCTGATATGGAGCATGGGTGCTCCAAAGGCCACCCCAGTGATCTTTTTGAACAACTATTTTTTTGCTTTGTGAAATGTTGTTATTGTTTCCTTTTCTCTATTTTCTTTATTTATGCTTTAGTCTTTATTTCCTTTTGCCTGTTAGCTTTGGCTTAATTTGCTCTTTCTGTAGTTTCTTAAGGTAAAAGGTTTGGCTTTGATTTGAGATCTTTTTAAATCTAGGCATTTACACTGTACATTTCCCTCTATGTACTGCTTTAGCTGCATCTCATAAGATTTAGGTTTTTTGTTATTTTTTCTTGTAATTTCTTCTTCTTCTTGGTTATTTAAGAGTGTGCTGTTTAATTTCCGCATGTTGTGAATTTCTCAAATTTTCTTTCTTTGTTGTTTCTAATATTAGTCCTCTATGTTTGGATAATATACTTATTGTTATCTCAATCCTTTTAAATTTATTGAGCCTCTTTTTATGGCCTAGCATATGTTCTGTCCTGGCGAATGTTTCACATATACTTGAGAAGAACGTGTATCAGGCTGTTTCTGGGAAGAATGTCCTATATGTAGTTGGTTTTATTTTCATTTAATAGAAAATGAAAGTAAAAGATAAGTTTATTTCGGTGTAAAAGTTTTACTTACACTTTCCATAAGCTTCCTGCTTCTGTTCCCTTGCTGACCTTTGCCCACTGGTTCTATCTGTTATTTTAAGTTGAGAGTTGAGTTCTTGATTTTTATTTTTGAATTGTTTATTTCTCCCTTCACTCCTCAGTTTTCGCTTCACGTATTTTGGGGCCCTGTTGTTAAGAACAACCAGAGCCCCGTTCCCTGGAAGTGGACGTGCACAGGTGTGGACGTTACCGAAGCACCTGCCAGCCCGTGCTGAAGCTGCTGCCAAGCTGCTAAGCTTTCAGGAGAGCCTGAGAATGCGTGGCAGCTGTTACTGTCAGCAGGCTCTGAGCAAGTGTGGCCCCCACCTTGGGAGAGTGTGTCTCAGTAGACCTGAAGGGGGCTCGGATGCCTGAGAGGTCAGCCCTGCAGGTGTAGAGGGGCCACACCCATCTTCAGCTGCTCTGTCTCTTTGACCCGATGTTGGGTTGTCATGGCATGCTTGAAAGTGCATCCTGGAGCAGCCAAACTACAGACCTTCTTGCTCACCCCGGCTGCTGCGGGGCAGGCTTGGGTGTCCTGTCCATGCCTCGCCAGCTGGCTGCGCCTCCCTTCATCCATTCTGCTCCCCATCTCAGGTGGGGTTGCCAGATCTAGCAAACTGGAATACAGGTCGCCAGGGCAGGCAGTGGGTGCAGCAGGTGAGGCACCACTTGAGACACCCAAATCCCATGTCAGGGGGCCTGGGTTCAAGTCCTGACTCCAGCTTCCTGCTAATGCAGACCCTGGGAGGCAGCAGGTGATGGGTCCCTGCCACCCAGGTGCAAGACCCAGGTGGAGTTTCTGGCCCTTGACTTGAGCCTGGCACAGACACAGCTATTAAGGGCATTTGGAGAACGGAGTGCTGTGTGTGTGTGTGTGTTTGTCTTTTCTGTCTCTCTGCCTCTAAAATAAATAAAATGAGAAAGCATGATACCCAGTTGAATTACAGGCGTAAGCTTGTAATATGCATATACTAAGAAGTTACTTGTAGGGCAGGCATTGTGATACAGTGGGCTGAACCACCACTCGGGATGCCCCTATCACCTATCAGAGTGCCTGGTTCGAGATCCGGATACTTTGTGCTTCCAATCCACCTAATGCACCTGGGAGGCAGTGGAAGACGACCCAGAGTACTTGGGTTCCTGCCACCTGCGTGGGAGACCCTGGGGGAGTTTCCGCACCTGGCTTCAGTGTGGTCCAGCCCCAGTTGTGAGCATTAGGGGTGTGAACGAGCAAATGGAAGATCCCCCCACCACCACCTCTTCCCCTCTCCTTCTCTCCCTCCCTCTTTCTGCCGCTCTGGCTTTCAAATAAATAAACTATTGGCTAATGATCTGAAACACAGATGTCCCTGAGTATGCAGAAGTTTTCCCTGGCAGTGCACGTGGGGACGGCCAGCAGGAGCTCTCCGAGTTCTTCTTTGGTCATCCGCTGGTGAACAGTGCGTTCCCATTCCTGAGGGCACCAAGTCCAGGGTCACAGTTCATGCCTATTTTAAACTCTGACCTGGTAACAAATGCATGTTCTGGACGAGATGCACTGGCAGGACACACCCTCTCACTTCCTTCGGTTGTGACGTGGGTTCCTTTCTTCACCCGTTTTTGGGTCCCAGGCTCCGTTTCTATTTTTAGCTCTCCCACATTGTCCTCTGTTCCCTCAGGCCCACTGAGACGGACTCTTCCAGAAAGCCAGTCTTCCTTGAGGAACGGGCTCTCCCAGCCGGTCCCCATGCCTGGGAACTTCCCCTGTGGCTCCACAAACGGGGCGGGGTCGGGGAGCTGAAGGCTTCCCTCCTCCTCTGGCGGAGGGGGCTGCTCACCAGGAAGCCGCTCTATACGCTGAAATGAAAACACAGACAGTGGCGTCCACCAACAGCCACCACAAGGCCAGCATGCGGCTCTGGTGTCTCCTCTGCTGGCTCCTGGGGCCAACCGGCACCTTCCGTCCCGCTGGGGTCTGAGTCCCCACCCTCCTGGTGTCTACCGGGGGAGCTGAATTCTAAAATGTTTACTTCCTGCCCCTTGGCTTACATTTCAAACACATGCACTCTGAAATAACAGCGTTGCGTGTCCACACCCATAACTGCCCACCCGTAAGGAAGCGGAATACATTCAGTGGATTGAAGATTTTCTTCCGCCCATTGCTTCTGGTTGCTTCTGTCTGATCCAATACTATTTTCTCTTTGCTGACTTCACAAGTACTACATGTTGTAGAAACGTTGAAAAAAGAAAAAAAAAAAAACACGTTGTTGGGGGAGGGGGCAACTGTCCCTTATTCCTGTTCCCAGGCAGGGATACGCTTATGGAAAGGAGTGGAAGTGTGGGCTAGGACTAGCCTTCCACTGGAATCCGCCTCTCTTGCCTGTGCATCAGAGATTTGGAGAGGGTTGTGGAGAGGTTGCTGGAGTTCATGGAGGGAAAGAAGAGGAAATATGTTCCCAGGGAATTTGGAGAAAGTGCCTGGTTGAGATGCAATCGACCTTTTCCTGTATCGTCTTCCCCCCCACCAAAAACAAGCCATCGTAAAATCTCTACCTGTGTGTTCTTTGGGAGTTGAATTTCTTTTGGGGTGGAGCAGGGTAAGAATCAAGCACACACTAAGTAGCCTCAAAGCAAAGCAGGCATCTTCTGGTAGCACCGTGAGGAGAACACTGATTTAAAATAGGAAACAACAGCACAATTTATCTTTTCTTTTTCATTTTTATTAATTTGTTTGAGAGGCAGAGATCTCTCACCCACTGGTGTACCCCCTGAATGCCTTCAACAATTAGAAATGGGCACGATCCCAATCTAGTAGCCGGGAACTCAGTCCAGGTCTCTTACATGGGTGGCACGGACCCAGCTACCTGAGCCATCTGCTGCCGTCCGGGGTCTATGTTAGCAGGAAGCTGGGGTCAGGAGCCAGAGCTGGGGATCGAACGTCGGTACTATAACGTGGCTTATGGACATGTAATGTCCTGGCCCCGATCCCATCGTTAACTATTTTTTTTTAAGATTTATTTTATTTATTTGAAAGACAGAGTTACAGAGAGAGGTAGAGACAGAGAGAGGTCTTCCATCCGCTGGTTCACTCCCCAGATGCCTGCAACTGGCTGATCCCAGATCCCAAGCCAGAAGCCAGGAGCTTCTTCTGGGTCTCCCACGTGGGTGCAGGGGCCCAAGGACTTGGGTCATCTTCTACTGCTTTCCCAGGCCACAGCAGAGAGCTGGATCAGAAGAGGAGCAGCCGGGACTACAACCGGTGCCCATATGGGAAGCTGGCGCTTAACCTGCTGCGCCACAGCGCCAGCACCTTTAACTGTGTTTTTAATGTTATTTGAGAGGGAGCCCTTGCTGCAGCCAGGAGCCAGGAACTCAGTCCAAAAATCTCTTTCAAAGCAGGATCTGAGAAGTTTCGTCTTCAGAAGACCAGAGGCTTCCAGGCTGTGCCAGTCGCACGCAGCGCCTGTTGCCTCTGTTGCCTATTTTGTGAAGGAAACCGTGAATTTAGACGGTCATGAGAGAGGAAGGGCTGCCTTATGCTATTTTGTGGAATAAATGAGTTACAGTCATTCCAATATAAGCATTTGCTCTGGTCGCTGCCACATTGAGAATCCTTATTTTAGGCATTTCCCCCAGGTCCTCAATGTAGGTCACCGAGCGTGAGTAACAGTGTTGCGGGTGGAAACGCTTGCGTGTGCCCCGACAGGAAGCAGGCCCTTCCCCTGGTGCAGAGGAAAGGCCACGTGCACCGACATTCCCGCCACCTTACTAACGCCGGTCCACGTCTTCACCCCTCATGCAGGTCAGGGACGTGGATCCGCTGAGTAATGGCTCAGTCATGATCTTTAACACCTCTGCTTCGCCACATCTGTACCAAATCAAGCAGCTGCAAGCCCTGGCTAATTACAGCATCGGCGTGTCCTGCATGAATGAAATAGGCTGGTCCGCCGTGAGCTCCTGGATTCTGGCCAGCACGACGGAAGGAGGTAATTCTTGGGATTCACAATGAGTCTTCCCTCTGGTGATGTGTGATTAAACAAAGCCTTCCCAGTGGTCTCCGGAAAGTGGCTCCTGAAAACGGGCAACGAGGTCGTTCCTTCTCTACTTTAAATGCACTTGGTGCTAGAACAGGCTGAGCATCCCTAAGCCGAAAATCCAAAATATGAAAAGCCCTGAAATCCAACAGGAGGCTAAAAAATGTGAGATTTGGTGGCATTTCTGATTTCAGATGAGGGATGTTCATTTGAAAATACACTAAATGTGCATATTTCCCAAAACCTGAAAAGCCCCAAAATTGAAATACTTCTGGTTCCAAGCATGTCAGATAAGGGATACTCAACCTGTCCTTACTATGTATAGATAATATTTTCTTTTAAATAGGAAAATAGTAGCAGCATAGTTAAAAATGTATTATTTTTATATAAAGACTAATGCACAAAAGCTTTTGACTCATAGTAATAAACTCTGGAAAACTAATGACGTGAAGGGGCTGAGATTCATGAAGCACCTACTAACACACCACACACTACAGGTGCTTTATTTGCATTATTTAGTTGGATATGGTAACTATGTAATAAGTACTACTATCTTAATATTATCTTGCTCAAAGTGACTTTTGTTTATGTCTTTGCATTTTCTTTTTTTTTTTTAAGATTTATTTATTTATTTGAAAGTCTGAGTTACACAGAGAGAGGAGAGGCAGAGAGAGACAGAAAGAGGTCTTCCATCCACTGGTTCACTCCCCAATTGGCCACAGCGGCCGGAACTGTGCTGATCTGAAGCCAGGAGCCAGGAGCTTCCTCTGAGTCTTTCCATGTGGGTGCAGGGTCCCAAGGACTTGGGCCATCTTCTACTGCTTTCCCAGGCCATAGCAGAGAGCTGGATTGAAAGAAGAGCAGCCGGACTAGAACCGGTGCCCATATGGGATGCCAGCCCTACAGGCGGAGGATTAACCTACCATGCCACGGTGCTGGCCCCAATAGCCTCTTATTTCACCAAGGAACATTTTCCTCCTTTCTGAAGGATTCTTTTTCTTACAGCGTGGATTTGCTGGCAAAGGATTCAGCTTCTGTAAATCTGGAGAAAATATTTATTTTACCTTCGAAATTTTTAAGGCTATCTTTGCCTGTATTTTTGAAATACATATTTACTAAATACAGAATTCTAGGGTCACGGTGTTTGGAAAATGTTGCCCCAGTGTCTCCTGGCTTGCATTGTTTCTGACATGAAATCTGCAGTAGTCCTAATTTTGCTCCTCTGTATGCAGTGTGTCGTCCATCCCCTCTTGTCCCCTTATCACTAATTTTGAGGGACTTACGTATGTTGTGCTTCTGTGTAGTTTAATCCATACCTAGTTCCCTACACTTTGTACCCTGAGCCCTCTGTCTGTGTATTTGTTTGGTCCCCTCTGACTCTCTGCACCTGCTCCTATTGAAGAGTGACTGGGACCCCTTGAGCATGCACAGGACCTGTAGGCTTCACTCTCAGGTGGTTGAGCAGTAACATCAGTGTTTTGGTCCAGATACCCCCACGTGTCAACACTGGCTTTCTTTGCCCTGTGGCTACTCACTTCCTTTTGATGAGTAATCTGCTGTGTCCAGCCCCAGGAGTGATGTTCCGGGAGCAGGAGGGTGCAGGGGTGAGGTGGAGGCCTTTTTCTGCAGTGCACAAACTTCACTCACTTCCCCAGTTTTCAGTCCCATGCCTCCATTCTACTGATGCCCTAAGTCCAGTGGCTTTCACTTCAGAGAATAAACCACCTATCCCCTGTGGGTAGAGGGGGTTGGAGCAGAGGGACCTTAATTAATTTGACAGAGTTAGACAGTGAGAGAGAGAGAGAGAGAGAGACAGGTCTTCCTTCCTTTGGTTCAGCCCCCAAATGGCCGCTACAGCCCGCACGCTGAGCCAATCCGAAGCCAGGAGCCAGGTGCTTCCTCCTGGTCTCCCATGTGGGTGCAGGCACCCTAGCACTTGGGCCATCCTCCACTGCACTCCCTGGCCACAGCAGAGGGCTGGACTGGAAGAGGAGCAACTGGGACTAGAACCCGGCGCCCATATGGGATGCTAGCGCCACAGGCGGAGGATTAGCCTAGTGAGCCATGGCGCCGGCCCCCAAGAAGTGACTCTTTTTAATGAAGATTCAGCCACTCTCCTCAGCGGCAGTCTCCCTTTCAGTAGCTGGGCCCGTGTTTTCTGAGATCTTCGGTGGTTTGTTGGGGAGAATCCCCTTGCAGAGTTAATTACGCCTCTTTCATCTCTTCTTCAGCTTTCAGATATGTGTCGAAATTTCTCTTCTGCTGTTGAATTCCTTTGCCTTGTGAGTTTATATGTTTTAAAATTCCTTATTGTTGAGGTCAGCGTTGGTGGTGTAGCGGATTAAGCTGCTGCCTGTGATGCCTGCATCCAGCCATGATCAAAACCATTCAAAAGCATAATTACACCTGTGCTGAACATGTTCAGAGTTTTTTCCTGTTTTTAATTTAAAATTTTTTTTTTTCATTTTACTTGGAAGGCAGAGAAAATACAATACAGTAGCCAGGGCTGGGTCAAGCCAAAGCCAGGAGCCCTTAACTCCATCCAGGTCTCCTACATAGGTGGCAGGGGCCCAGGTACTTGAGCCCTCTTCTGCATTAGCAGGTGCCCTAGCCGGAAGCCAGATCAGAAGCAGAACAATCAGGACTTTGTACTCCAGTATGGGATGTGAACATCCTAAGCAGTGCCTTAACTGCTGATCCAAATGCCTGCCTATTAGTCCCTAAATAACAGAGTGTAACAACAATTTACATAAGATTTCTGTTGATCTGGTATTATAAGCAATCTAGAGATAATTTGAATGTGGGATGATATGTACAAATATATACAAATACATTTTATATGAGGAACTTGAGTGTCCACAGATTTTGGTATCTATAGGGGATCCTGGAACCAGACCCTGTGGATACTGAGAGACAATTATATGTACATTTTGAAAACTTTAATTGTTGCTGGTGCTGTGGAGTAGCAGGTAAAGCTGCTGCCTGTGGCACCAGGATCCCACATGAATGCCTCTTTGAGTCTAGGCTGCTCCACTTCAGATCCTGCTCTCTGCTATGGCCTGGGAAAGCAGCAGAAGTTGGCCTAAGTGCCTGGGCCCCTGTGCCCACATGGGAGACCCAGAAGAAGCTCCTGGCTCCTGGTTTCAGATTGACCTAGCTCTAGCCATGTGGCCATTTGGGGAGTGGACCAGCGGATAGAACATCTCTCTCTCTCTCTCTCTCTCTCTGCCTTTCAAATAAATAAATAAATCTTTTTAAAAAATCTTTTTATTTATTTATTTGAAAGGCAGAGTGACAGAGAGAGAGAGAGACAGAAAGAGAAAGAGAGAAATATTCCAGCTGCTGGTTCACTCCGGCATCAACCGATGCTAGTCCTGTCCCAAGCCAGAAACCAGGAAGCCCATCCAGGTCTCCATGTGGGTGGCAGGAACCCAAGTACTTGGGCCAGCATCTGCTGCCTGTCATGCACCTTAGTGGGAAACTGGATCAGCAGCAGGGCATAGCCAGAACTCTAACTGGTGCTCAGATAGGGGTGCAGGACTCCAAGTGGCAGCCTAACGCGCTGTGCCACAGCTCCCGCCCTCCATGCTTTAATTTGCTGACCGATCATCTCTGTGCAGACCACGAGCCAGCTGCCACTGGACTTCAGCACGGTAGCTTCGTCCTTGGCTTGGCCACGTTCCCCACCTGTGCCTGTGTGCCCACAGAGGCAACCTGCACTCAGCGCTGCTGACCCCGCCCTGGGGTTCTCTTGCCAGCCCTGTTCCAGCTGTGTCTGCTCTGCTTCCCTGGGCTCCATGAGCACCCTGGCTTCCCCCCTCCACCTCCCTCCTCTCCCTATTTAACCTTGGGTGCTCAAGGGACCTCTTCAACTTCCGAAATGAGTCTTGAGGCTTCGGTAACCTAAAACGCCTTGTTTGCCAATGCTTGTGCTATTTCCGCCAGTCTTGGTCTCCTTGGAGAGCTTTTTGTGGACGCTGGAACGCCAGCACGCAGTGGAAGCCGGGAAGGGAACGAATCCACACATGGGCCTTGCTTTGTGCTCCTCACCCTCCTCTCCTTTTCTCTTTCGTAGCCCCGTCAGTGGCACCGTCAAACGTCACCGCATTTCTCAATGAATCTACTAATAACGTGGACGTGAGATGGACGAAGCCTCCGATTAAGCGGCGGGATGGGGAACTGGTGGGCTACCGGATCTCTCACTTGTGGCAGAGCGCGGGGACTTCTGTAAGTGGGCCCCTAAACGTATGCTCATTATCTCCTTTGGGCTTGCTGCCTTAATTGCTTTAGAAGCTTTCATTTTGTCGCGAAAGGATCTGGCGTGATTGAATTCAGCAAGACAGCTTTCAGCGTGACATAAACATTGTCGTCAAAATCAGAGGTGCCTGAATAATTAGTTCTTTTTTTTTTTTTTTTTTTAAGATTTATTTGTTTCTTTGAAAGGCAGAGTTACAGAGAGAGAGAGAGAGAAAGCCAATCCTCTGGTTCACTCTTCAAATGGCCACAACAGTCAGGATTCAACCAGGCCAAAGCCAAGACCTAGGGACTCTATCCAGGTCTCCCTTGTTGGTGGCAGGGGCCCAGCTACTTGGGCCATCTTCCTCTGCTTTCCCAGGCACATCAGCAGGGAACAGGTTGCAAGTGGAGCAGCCAGGACTCGAAATTGAGACAGTGCTTATATGGGATGCCGGCATCACAGGCTGTGTCCTAACCCACTGCACCACAATGCCGGCCCCCAGCTACACAATTCTAAGGAGTCTCTTGGGGCTCTGCTCACTCACTCATCCATCCACTCATTTATCGATTCCGTCAATAGGTATAGAGCTCACCCAACTCTTGCCTTTAGAGAGTTTCAGCTTTGATGCAAAGACAGTGTGGTGACCCAGATGGCTGGTGACCTGACATGGCTTGAGGTCAGGGAGCTGCAGTGCCTGGCATTGCAGCACTCACACCTTTCTTTCTGGAAGTCTCAGAGGACACCTTTCTGAAGCTGGTGGGGGACGGAGGACGATGAGGAGTAAGCAGACTCCCACAGGAGAGAAGCAGATGTGCAGGCGTTTATCAAAACTGCTGTTTCCCAAAAGCGCAATTGGGATTTATTCTTTTCTTGCCTTGGTTTACCGCTTAGGAAGCAGGCTGATGGAAGCAGAGGTGAAAGAAGAGGGCTCAGCAGTCCCTGTTGTTCTGTGTCCATAAGTGTTCCCTGGACAGCAGTAACCCTGCTTGTAAGTCACAGCGGGGCTGCTGTTCTGATGCAGCGGGTGAAGCTGAGCACCAGTTCAAGTCCCACTTCCAATCCAGCTCCCTGCTAGTGTGCCTGGGAAAGCAGCAAAGGATGGCCCAAGGACTTGGACCCCTGCATCCACTTGGGGGACCAGGATGGGCTCCTGGCTTCAGCCTGGCCCAAGCCTGACCATCGCAGCCATCTGGGGACTGAAGCAATGGATGGAAGATCTCTCTCTGTCCCTCTGTCACTCTGCCTTTCACATAAGTAAATCTTAAAAATAAGTAAAAATAAATAAATAAATAAAAGGTCACAGCTAAGAGAAAGGCTGTGACTCCTTTCCCAGGCTTCTGCCCCAAGGCATTTCATTCCAGGGGCCTCTGGAGTTACTGTGTGTCCCCTTGGCTGAGCTGGATGAACCAGATGTCTGTCTTAGAAAAAGGCTGCTTTGTGGGTCAGTGCCACGGCTCAATAGGCTAATCCTCTGCCTTGCGGCGCCGGCACACCGGGTTCTAGTCCCAGTCAGGGCGCCGGATTCCTTCCCGGTTGCCCCTCTTCCAGGCCAACTCTCTGCTGTGGCCCGGGAGGGCAGTGGAGGATGGCCCAAGTGTTTGGGCCCTGCACCCCATGGGAGACCAGGAGAAGCACCTGGCTTCGGATCAGCGCGGTGCACCGGCCGCGGCGGCCATTGGAGGGTGAACCAACGGCAAAAGGAAGACCTTTCTCTCTGTCTCTTTCTCTCACTGTCCACTCTGCCTGTCAAAAAAAAAAAAAAAAATGAAAAAGAAAAAGACTGCTTTGCCTGCAATGCTGAATACTGAGTGTAGATATGTAAAGATTTGGTAATCATGTTCAGATCAGTTGGAATTTTTCTGGTTGGCAAAAAGTAGGGACTGCCAGCAGACATTGGAACAGTCTGAAAACAAACCATTGTGTTGAAAGAGCTACCGGCCGTTGTTCCAGCTTCTTCTGGTGTGGGGGAAGCTACTTTTCTAGAAGACTGTCTGGAACTGAGGCCGGCTGGAGGCAGCAGTGACGAAAACTGTGTGAGCGCCCCGGAGCCAGAGCGCCCCGTGCACTCTACGCCCCGAGCACTGAGTTGCGCTGTGCTTGCGCGCTGCTCCTTGTTCCCAGCAGCCCCTCAGTAACTGGGACGGCACGGCCCCCGCGAGGGCTCTGACCTTTCCAGCCAGCTCGTCCCAGGCGAAGGTCATCTGCATTGTGCTCCGGCTGCATTTTGTGCATCATGAAGATCTTGTGACAAAAGTGGCGCACGTGATTTTGAATGACAGTTTCCGATGCAGCTAAGCCTTTCTGGAGACAAATGACAGCAAGGAGCGGCCAGCCCTCCCCGGGGGAGTGGGGGTGCCTGAGACTCAGGCCCAGGGTGCAGTTTGAGATGATGCTGGCACCCTTCCCTTCGGTTTCCTGAGCCCCTTTCGTCTCTGAAGGGCGACACGTAGACGCAGCTTCATCTCACAGTTCTTTCCAGTTTCCAAAACCTGTTACTAAAGCAACTCCTTCCTTATGCCAGACAAGGAAGATAGATGTTTTTGAAACTTCTCACTTTCGATCATATTAAGGGTGGGGATTTGTGGGTGTGTGTAATTTCCAAACCTTGGTGGAAGTGCTCGGGGGATGGAGTATTGCAGGCCCCCTAAAGACAGTACCTCTGTTATCCCACGGCTGGCAGGTCACCTGCAGACTAAGGCCTTGCAATCTTGACTGTATGGTGTTTTTATAGCTCAGTGAAGATGTCTAGTTTTATTGGTCCTATTTCTCATATTTTTATTTTCATTTACTTGAAAGAGAGGAAGAGGCGGCCGGTACCACGACTCAATAGGCTAATCCTCCGCCTGTGGCGCCGGTACTCCGGGTTCTAGTCCCCGTTGGGGCGCCGGGTCTGTCCGGTTGCTCCTCTTCCAGTCCAGCTCTCTGCTGTGGCCCGGGAGGGCCGTGGAGGATGGCCCAGGTGCTTGGGGCCCTGCACCCACATGGGAGACCAGGAGGAAGCACCTGGCTCCTGGCTTCAGATCGGCACAGCGCGCCGGCCGTTGCAGCCATTTGGGGGGTGAACCAACGGAAGGAAGACCTTTCTCTATGTCTCTCTCTCTCACTGTCTAACTCTGCCTGTCAAAAAAAAAAATAACAAATAAATAAATAAAGAGAAAGAGAGGAAGAGGCAAGAGACAAGAGAAAGAGACCTTCCCTCCACTGGTTCACTCCCCAACTGCCTGCAACAGTTGTGGTTGGACTAGGCCAAACTCAGGATCCAGAAACCCAATCCAGGTCTCCCACTGGGTTGGCAGGGGCCCAAGCACTTGAGACGTCTTCTTCTGCCAGGGTGCAGTAGCAGGAAGCTGGATCAGAAGCAGAGTAGTGAGGATTCCAGCCAACACTCAAATATGGGATGTAGGTGCCACTAGTGGAGGTTTAACTCACTGTTCCACGACACCCATCCCATGTCCTGTTTTTCTTCTTTCCAAATCAGAGCTCCAAATCCAACGGTAAGGAGCAAGTCCAAATCTGTTCAGCTTGAAGTTGGAACCATGTCTTGCTCATCTTTGTAAAGGATCACAGGGCCTTGAATTTGCTCTGTAGGCATGTGCTAGTATGGCACTGCGGGTTAGATGTGAACCTGCGGCCGGCGCCGTGGCTCACTAGGCTAATCCTCCGCCTTGTGGCGCCGGCACACCGGGTTCTAGTCCCGGTCGGGGCGCCGGATTCTGTCCCGGTTGCTCCTCTTCCAGGCCAGCTCTCTGCTGTGGCCAGGGAGTGCAGTGGAGGATGGCCCAAGTGCTTGGGCCCTGCACCCCATGGGAGACCAGGATAAGTACCTGGCTCCTGGCTTCAGATCAGCACGGTGCGCCGGCCACAGCACGCCGGCCACAGCACGCCGGCCGCAGCGGCCATTGGAGGGTGAACCAACGGCAAAGGAAGACCTTTCTCTCTGTCTCTCTCTCTCACTGTCCATTCTGCCTGTCCAAAAAAAAAAAAAAAAGATGTGAACCTGGCTATATCGTCCAAACCAGCTGGGGACTCTCTGTCAAGGAGACAGCCTTGATAAGTTGGACTAGTGTTCCTCACTCCATCCCCATTCCCATAAAGTGTTAGTGGATTCTTCATGCAAAAAAAAAAAGAGTTTGGTGAACAAGTAAAGTTGTAAAATACTGCATATTTATACCCCCTTCTTGATGACCCATAGTGTATCCTGCCCGGAAAATTCGAGGCTCTTTGATGTCCTACAGTAAATAAATCTGTTCAACTTTCATCCACAACTGCCCAATCATTAGACAGAGATTCGTTTTGATGTGTGTGGTTTTTGTGCAGCCCATTGTTTGGGAATTATGACACTAGCACTGGTTTAATCTGTGTTCAGAAAGTGTAGAGAGATTACAGGGAAGTCTCATAGCAGAGATTCTTGTGGTCCTAGACAATCTGACGTGTAGAACCAGCTTCCTCAAAGACCCGGGGGGCTGCAATTCACTTAAGGATTCCTTGGATCTAGACTTCTCCCTTCTCATGAGCTTGCCAGTGGCTGCCAAGGTGGCAGAGATGCACCTGCATGCTGGCCTATCTCTCTCTTGCTCGCTCACTCGCTTGCTGTCAGAGGAGGGCAGGGTGGTTGAGCTGGTGTTAGGGTATGAAGAATAGACAAGGTTCTCATGAGACAGGCCAGCCAGGGTCGGAACCACTTCTGAAACTCAGGGGCCGGTGGATGAAGGATGAAACACTTGCCCTGCAGGAGAAACCCCCAGTGGGGGTACTCTCCATGAATGGGTCGTCAGCATCTTTTTTTAAAAAACAAAAAGATTATTTATTTATTTGAAAATCAGAGTTACACAGAGAGAGGAGAGGCAGAAGGAGAGAGGTCTTCCATCCAATGGTTCACTCCCCAATTGGCCGCAACGGCCGGAACCACGCTGGTTCGAAGCCAGGATCCAGGATCTTTCTCCAGGTCTCCCATGCGGGTGCAGGGGCCCAAGCACTTGGGCCATCTTCCACTGCTTCCCAGGCACAGTGGCAGGGAGCTGGGTCAGAAGTGAAGCAGCTGGGACTGGAACGAGCACTCCAGGTTGGGATGCAGGCATCACAGACGGCGGCCCCCAGTGCCTGTGGATCTGAAGCCCCTTTGAACAAGTCAGCTTGGACCTAGCCCCTCTGCCTTCTCACAAGCTTTGTTGTCATGGGACAGAAGTCTGATCTGACAGTTCTTTCCTCATCTAGTGTTACTGCTCTTTGAGAATTAAAGGAGCCACATTCTTAAATATAGTTGTATGTTAGAAGGCTGTTAATTCAGGGCCGGTGCTGTGGCATAAGCCCTGCCTGTGGTTCCGGCATCCCATATGGGTGCCAGTTTGAGTCCTGACTTCTCTGCTTCCGATCCATTCTGCTAATGGCCTGGGAAAGCAGTAGAAGATGACCCAAGTGTTTGGGCCCCTGCACACACATGGCAGACCCGGAAGAAACTCTTAGCTCCTGGCTTCAGATTGACCCAGCTCTAGCCATTATGGCCATTTGGAGAGTGAATCAGCGGATGGAAGACCTCTCTCTCTGTAATTTTGCCTCTCAGATAAATAAATAAATCTTTTTTTCAAGAAGGAAACTGTTAATTCTTACAGAGTAATTGGGGATATTACAGTCTTGGTAGCTGGAAACAAATAGCTCTGCAATTCCCCACCTAACCCCAGTGCCCCACATCCAAGAAGAAAGAAATGAGCGCTCCAAAAACGTGCTATTAGTTTCTGAGCTGCAGTGCCCAGTATGTCTTGTTTGCTATGTAAATGAAGCCACAATCAAAAGCGGTGTTGTAAATCTGATTGCATTACCTGGAAATGTTCTTACATTTTTAAGCCCTTGAGAATATGGACCTCGTATTGGTGAAAAATACACACTCCAGAACTCCAGAAATGAAAAAATAAACAGTTGGCCCATAACACGCACCATCTAGCCAGACCACCTTATTGTCAGGGAAGTGGTCCCACCTGTGCAAGCTGCACTGTCACTACCAGAGATCAAATGCATGGGGTGGGGTAGCTTCCGCATGCATGTGAGATTAAATGGATTTCTCTGACGGCTTTCAAATACAGATTAAGTATTTGGGGGTGTAAATATGAACACACGGTATAATTCTGGCATCAAAACACTATGCACAATTTATATCCATTTTTAAACTATATTACCATTTAAAGATATTCTTAGAGAAAATTGTTAAACCTTCACTCAAATATGTATCATGTACCTTTCTAATTACTACATCAACATGTTTTATAACCCCCCTCCTAAAGTGAGATAATCCCTGACATATTTCCACAGTGTGTCACCAGGAAGTAAGCACAGGCCAGCCCAGAGTGATGACAACCTTGACAATGGCCGTTACAGCACTTGGGTGGCGTTTTTCCTAGGCCAGGCACTGGACCACTTGCCTTTCACAGGGTTAACTCCCTGCATTTGTGAGGTCACGTAAGGACTACGAGGTGGAAATGAAAAGGAACTTCGCTATATATATGCTATAAACTCCTTTAATTTTTATTTCCAAAGGAATAGTTTTGGCTTTGTTAGGATTTCTGTTATTCCAGGCATTCCATTTCTGCCCAGTTATGCATTTTTCTCTTGTTCTGAGATAGCCTGGAGGCCCGAGGTCCAGTGTCAGACGTGATGTGCTGTTCTTTGGGAAGCTCTCGGGCTCTGGGCTCTCGGTAGTGAAATAGACGTGTGGTTTGTCTCTCAGCTGCAGGACTCCATGGTTCCTCTACCTGCTGACTGTTTGCTAAATGCCAACTAACATGTCATCAAAACTGGGCGAGGTGCAAATGAAATGCTCTGTTTCTAGAGATATCGCCAATGCCCCCAAAATTGTTCACTGTCGTTTACTTAACCAAAAAAAAAAAAAAAAATCTGTGGCAAATCTCACAGATTCAGGATCTGGTGGGGCAGAAGCCCATCATTTTGCAGGTCTTACTTTTCCATCTCACCCCTTGTCTGGGGGCATTTTGGGGTCCTGATGGTCACGGCTTCTTTAGATTTAAAAAGAACCTCTGGGTGATCAACCCAGGTGCCCCCTTAGTCATGAGTGACAGGACTGCCTTCTCCTTAAGTACCGTGCCGGTTCCCCCTGCACTAACAGAAGAGACTGCCTTGAGACCAGGGTCTGCAGTTACCATTGCAAAACATCCGAGACTTAGAAATCTGTTAAGAAAAGAAGCTTACGTGGGTCACAGTTCTGGGCCATCCTGAGGAGGGGCCCCCGGCTGCATCACAGCATGGCAGAGAGCATCATGGGGGAATGTGGGTGAGAGGGAGAGGGCATGTGGCAGGACAGGAGGCAGGGGCCGGCGTTGTGGTGCAGCAGGTTAAGCTGCCACTTGCTACCCCAGCATGCCATATTGGAGTGCCAGTTTGAGTCCTGGCTGCCCCGCTTCCAAGCCGGTATCCTGCTAATGCACCCGGGAGAGCAGCAGGTGAAGGTGGTAGTATTGTAGTGTTTGGGTCCCTGCCACCCATGTGAGAGACCCAGATGGAGTTTTCCTGGCTCCTGGCTTTGGCCTGAACCAGCCCAGGCCATTGCAGCCATTTGGGGAGTGAACTAGTCAATGAGATAGATTCTCTCTCTCTCTCTCTCTCTCTCTCTCTCTCTCTCTGTGTGTGTGTGTGTGTGTGTGTGTCTCCCTCTCTGTGTAACTTTGCCTTTCAAATAAATAAAAGGGAACCAACCAGAGTCCCATGGGAACTACATTAGTTCCTTCCAAAGACGGCACCCCCAGTGACTCAACTGCTTTGCACCACCTCCCAGCATCACCCCACTGAGGTCCACCCTTCTAATACACGACCCTTGGGGGGACACAGTCAAAGCATGTTCAGACCACAGCGCCAGGGAACAGTTGTGCCTTTGCTGTTAAACCTGTGCCTCACAAGACCTGGTGGCTGTCCCTTCCTCACTCTGAAATCTGATTTTCAAAATTCCTAGGGATTTCACAATTCTTACGATTTCCATTTGAGAAGCCAGCTCCAAACCCCAGACACCATCATAATTATGGAGGTTTGGAAGCAAAGGGGAAAGTTTTGGTTATTTTTTCCCTATATTTTAATGGCTCACTCTTTCATGGCAGTGGCTTTAAAATAACATGAATAAAAGTTAAACTAGAGTGCTTTTTTTTTTTTTTTTTTTGGACAGGCAGAGTTAGACAGTAAGAAAGAGAGGGACACAGAGAGCAAGGTCTTCCTTCTGTTGATTCACTCCCCAGATGGCTGCTACGGCCGGCATGCTGCGCAGATCTGAAGCCAGGAGCCAGGTGCTTCCTCCTGGTCTTCCATGGGGTGCAGGGCCCAAGCACTTGGGCCATCCTCCACTGCACTCCCGGGCCATAGTAGAGAGCTGGCCTGGAAGAGGGGCAACCGGGACAGAATCTGGCGCCCAAACAAGAATTGGAACCCGGGGTAGCAGTGCCACGCGCCGGCCCCAAACTAGAGTTTTGAAAACTGAGGAAGCTATTTTTTTTTCTGACAGGTAGAGTTATAGACAGTGAGAGAGAGACAGAGAGAGACAGAGAGAAAGGTCTTCCTTCCGTTGGTTCACCTGCCAAATGGCTGCTACGGCCGGCACTGCGCCGATCCGAAGCCAGGAGCCAGGTACTTCCTCCTGGTCTCCCACGCAGGTGCAGGGCCCAAGCACTTGGGCCATCCTCCACTGCCCTCCCGGGCCACAGCAGAGAACTGGACTGGAAGAGGAGTAACCGGGACTAGAACCCGGCGCACATATGGGATGCCGGCGCCACAAGCGGAGGATTGACTAAGTGAGCCACAGCGCCAGCCCTTAAAATTCCTATGATTCTTATAATTTGAAAAAACAGGAGCCCACGTGTGCTAGGCCAAGGGCAGCCGGCAGGTGGGCAGTGTCAAGGGGTCAAGGCCCAGTGTGGCTCTGGGACTTTGGCTGTGAGCCAGGAGTTGGACTTGATCTTGCCCTCTCGGTACATCTGGTACACACTCCCGCCCTTCCAGAAGCTTCTTTACTGGTCACTCTGAGGGCCAGGCCCTCATGGCCCTGGCTTCCCAGGGCTGCCAGCTGTTCCTGCCTGCCCTTCGGTTCCATTGACCTTGATCTTTGTGAAGAAGGAGCACCGTGGATGCACAGGCTCTGCGCCCCAGAGGGAACTGTAGACGTGTGTTCAGACCTTAGTAATGCCTTTCCCTGTTTCCTCTGTGTTCCAGGAACAGCTCTCTGAAGAAGTCAGCCAGAACAGCAGCCGGGCCCAGCTCTCTGTTCACCTCCACAACGCCACGTGCACAGTGAGAATTGCAGCTGTCACAAAAGGGGGAGTTGGACCCTTCAGTGACCCAGTGAAAATATTTATCCCAGCGCACGGTGAGAGCGGGGCCCTTACTAACTGATGGATGTGGCAGTCCAGGCGGTGCCCATGTCACCAAATAGTCACCTGTGGGAGGGACAGCTGATAGAAGAATGGAAAATTAGGGTAAAAAAGAATTTTTGCAGTGATAAAGATTGTTGGTAACAAGCTTCCCTGAACTGCTGGCACCCGTGGGTCCTCCTACTACCAGAACTACAAATGGTCTTACCTTACTAGGAAGATCCTTCCTAACACCAAAGTTGACTCCACTAATTGAGTTTAGTTTCTATGATGTGTGTGGGTCCCAGTATGTATGGCAGGTCCTGAGCTCTCTGTCACTGGCTCTGTTTGCTTATTTGCTGGTGTTTGTTTTGCTGTGTTGCTTGCCATGATCTCACCCATTCAAGCCATGGGGAACGTGCTTTGTGATCTGGCCCGCACAGAATGCCTCCCACGGCCCTGGGCTGATTGAGCTAAATGCCCAGCCATGTGTGCTGGCTTTTATGTGCTGCTGGAATGCTCGTTGGCGCAGTGCCACTGTGCTGCCCCAATGGTCCCAAGTGCTGTGCTTGCTTCCATAGGCCAGTGGAGCCACCTTTGTTCTAACCCGGACCTGCCCAGGGTTGTTTGTTGTTAGACCGCTGTCGTAAAGTTCACACACAGGCCCTGCATCTGTGTGACGTGTGCATTTACAAGACCTTGCTGAGCGTGGCCTTTGTACTCAGCAGGAGATGAGACTAGTAAGGAATGATTAAGGTCCTCTCTCTGTTCCCGGCATCCCTCAAACATACTGTGCCTTTGAGTGCTGAATGAGAGCCATATTATGTGCCTGCAGGCCACAGGCTCGGTGCCTGAAACATTAGTGACTAATGAGGAGGGGATAAAGTGTGTCTACCTGGTACAAATTCAGAGACAGAGGCAGGCATGCACGCATTCTGTATCAGAGTGCCTGGGTTTGCGTCTCAGCTCTGTTCCCAACTCCGGCTTCCTGTTAACATGCGCCTCACCAGGCGGAAGGGCAGGGCTCAAGTAGCTGAGTCCCTGCCACCTATGTGGGAGACCCCAGAGCAAGTTCTTGGCTCCAGGCTTCTGCCTGGCCTGGCCCAGCCCAGGCTGTCACAGGCATTTGGGGAGTGAACCAGTGAATGGAAGATCTCTCTCTCTCTCTCTCTCTCTCTCCCTTTCAAACAAACAAAAAAAGACAATGAGACTCTAATTCTAAAGTCTCAAAAAAGTCAGAATTTAAGGCAATAGAGCTTTCATCTTCATGCATAATAAGCTCCCTAAAATTCTAAAAGCTTTGTCGTACAGGAAGTCTTGGCTTTGCACAGCTCCAGTGTGCGTGTCTATTATCACGGTTAAATACCACCAGCTCCCCAACAAAATGGTTCAGATATTCATGACCATCGCATATTAACTAACTGCAAAAAGCAAACTTGGCCATGAATCACCGTATACATAGCAGATGCACGTCATGACCATGACCAATGATATCACTTCTTTCAAAGTCAGCTTGGGGTTGGCCACCATGCTTCTGTCATTTGGTTCATGCACATCTGGAAGAAGCACGTGGCTGTGTTGCTTCCTTTTCTCCCAGCGACAACCCCATGTGACATTTTACCAAAAAAATGAATAATTCAAAGAGGGAACTGGTAAACAACGATGACAGCGCAGCAAAGAAGCAGCAGGCGATGGTGTCGGAAGTAAAATCTGGATTGAACTGAAGTGCTCCGTGGAAGGCTGGGCCTGCTGCCATCTGAGAGACTCGTAGATGTGCCACTAAGGAGTTCAGTGGAGGTGAACTTGTGGACATAAGAGAAGTGGTTGCGACAAACCAAACGAGAGTGTTGCGGAGAAATGACACCAGCACAAAACTTCACATTAAAGGAATCCTCAGGAAGTTTTTACAACATTGAAAGCATAAAAGATAAAATGCTGAAAGTTGATCCAATCTTATAAAAAAGTTTGACAATTCTCTAAGATACACAAAACATACTTTCTCCATACGAAAGACTAGAAAAAGGCAAAAACTGTCCATACTTTTCTTGATGTGTTTTTTACAAGTAACATGTTAATTCTTAATATTTGTTTTTGAATTTATTTTATTTACTTGAAAGGCCAGGTAACACAGAGAAAGGGAGAGACAGAGAGAGAGAGAGGTCTTTCACCCGCTGTTTTATTCGGCAAATGGCCACAACCGCCAAAGCTGGGCCAAACAGAAGCCAGTAGCCAGGAGCTTCTTCCTTGTCTCCCATGTGGGTTTAGGGGCCCAAGGACTTGGGCCATCTTACACTGCTTTCCCAGTTGCATTAGCAGGGAAGCTTGATTGGAAGTGGAGCAACCAGAACTTGAACTGGAGCCCACAGGGGATGCCAGTGTCATGGGTGCTGGCTTTACCTGGCATGCTACAATATAGGCCCTAATTCTTAATATTTCTAAAGTTTTAAGGTACATTGCACCAAGTCAATATTAGGGTTTCTTTTTTTTTTTTTCATTTTCCTATTTCCATTGATTACATTTGTTTGTTACTGTTTTTTAATTGCCAACTGAAAAACCACATTTAGAGAGAGCAATGTGAAGTGCTGAAGAAGTGGAATGATTAAATCAAGTTAGTTTCCCATTGAGTTGATGCTCGGCATTGATTGGTATTGGTATTTTACCAGGTGGGATTGGTTCTGCCCCCTCATCAACCCCTGCACCTGGCAGCACAGAGCCTGTGGTCATCATCCTTGGCTGCTTTTGCGGATTTATTTTCATTGGGCTGGTCTTCTATATCTCTCTGGCCATCAGAAAAAGACTCCAGGAGACGAAGTTTGGGTAAGTTTCCCAGTTAAGACACGTTCGACCAGTAGTACCAGAAAGACAGATGTGGCAGTCATGCCAAGTGATGCTGCCTCTCCTGCCGGCTCCGCCCCCACTGTGCACGCAGATGGGTGCCCTGCCTCATGCATGCCCTGGGGCCAGCCAACTTCTTACTTAAACCACTGCCTACCAAGGCAGTCAGTAGCCAGAGCCCACCCTGCAAAGGGTCTTTTCCAGTAGGCCCTTGCCACTCAGCCTGGGTTGCTGATGTGTGAGGACTTCCATTAGAAGCCACAGAAATGATCCCAATTATTATTAACGTATATGTAGACAAAAATACGGACAAGAACATGAGCTACCCTGGCTGGTCTCCTTGTGAGTAAATCTGTTTTCTCTTTTTGGTGGATTTTGCGCATTTTCTATCATGGTCAGTTATTTTTCTAATAGAGAAAATCACTGTTTAACATTCGAACTAGAAAGGCAAAAGCTCCTTTTCTTCTTTCCTATTCATCTTTTTGAACACAACTAGTTCGATAACAGAGACGAGAAGGTGTATCAGAGCAGCCTGTGGAGAGGAGGCGGGGTGTCGGTGTTCTTTGTGGAACCCCGTTTTCCACCACGGAGCTCCGAAGCACAGCATGCAGTGTGTCAGTCGCATCCCAGGAGGAAGCATTCTGTCAGAGGCAGCATGGAACAGGGTGGAGCTGGGGGGAGGTGGGTACCGTGTTCCTCTCCTTGCTCACCCACAGCATGCTCTCAGAGAGGCCAGACTGGCTGTTATTACATTCCACTCCCTCCGACACGGCCATGGGCCTGGGAAGGGACTTAGGAGGGGAGGCCAGACTGGCTGTTATTACATTCCACTCCCTCCGACACGGCCATGGGCCTGGGAAGGGACTTAGGAGGGGAGGCCAGACTGGCTGTTATTTATGTCCATCCATCCTTTTTTTTTTTTTTTTTTTTTTTTTTTTAGATTTTTATTTACTTATTTGACAGGTAGAGTTACAGTGAGAGAGACAGAGAGAAAGGTCTTCCTTCCGTTGTTTACTCCCCAAATGGCCGCATGGCCGGAGCTATGCTGATCCGAAGCCAGGAGCCAAGTGCTTCCTCCTGGTCTCCCATGCGGATGCAGGGCCCAAGCACTTGGGCCATCCTCCACTGCATTCCCTGGCCACAGCAGAGAGCTGGACTGGAAGAGAAGCAACCAGGACTAGAACCTGGCGCCCATATGGGATGCCGGCGCCACAGGCGGAGGATTAACCAAGTGAGCCATGGTGCCGGACCCCCAGTTCTACCCTTTTAATTCTTCCATCTTAGTAAGTGAATTCTAAGAAGGACTATTTTAGAGAAGCAGACAAAAGTTGGCCTCAACCTTGAGTGTAGAGTTGACCGCAGAGGGAGAGCATGGGGCTGGAAACAGAGCCTGGGACCCCTGGGCTCAGCATGAATTCTGTCACTCATTTTCCTGGCTTGCTCAGTGTTACCTGTTTCTGAACCATCTCCAAGGTCACTACAAGTCCTAATGGCTATGATGCTGAGTTGACTCCTCTAGACTTAGTTATTCAGAGAGTCTTTTAGGAAGCTGATGGCTTTAAAAATTAGTGGCAGAAAGCAGTCTGTGTCAAGTGGGGATTCAGTTGGTGTTGAAATAGTAATTGTTATAGGATTTTTCATAGATACCATATAGAATGTAGGTGCCGTAAGGACAGAACCAAGAGTATGGTGGCCAGAGTTCCTGAGGAAGTCCTGAACTTCCAGGGGACCTGGTGGAAGCTTCTAGAATGCACAGCTAAGGCAACCCCGGAGGGGCAGGGTGCAATAGTGAAGGGACCCTCTGTTGCCTTTTGGGACTTTTGCTAAGATAAGACCTTTTACAGTAAGGGGGTGGGAGATTATTTATTTATTTATTTATGTGAAAGGCAGAGTGACAGAGAAGGAGAGACAGAGATCATCCATCTATCTGTTCATTCTCCAAATGGCCACAACAGTCAGGATTGGGCCAAGCCAAAACAAGGAGCCAGGAACCAGGAACTCCATCCAGGTCTCCCACATGGGTGACAGTGGCCCGAGTACTTGGGCCATGATTTGCTGCTCCCCAGGAGCACTAGCAGGAAGCTAGGTGGGAAGAAGAGCAGCTGGGATGCTGGCCTCACAAGCAACAGCCTCACCTGCTGCCACACAGCACTGGCCGCTCCTGAAAGTCAAGACCTTGAACAACGTGAAGCAATGGCGTTCTTTCAAGATGCCAGAAGTTCAGTCACTTTTGATGTTTTTTTTGCAGCCTCCCCTTGGCTCACTCCTTTTTCATTTCCTTTAGAAAGAAATGGGATTTTTGTTGTTGTTGTTGAAGACCAAGTCACGAAAAAATTCCGATCCTTTTTTTCTTTTTTCCCTCGCAAAGCTGAGTTAGACAGTGAGAGAGAGAGAGACAGAGAGAAAGGTCTTCCTTTTTTCCGTTGGTCACCCCCCAGATGGCTGCTACGGCCGGCGCGCTGCGCCTATCCGAAGGCAGGAGCCAGGTGCTTCTCCTGGTCTCCCATGGGGTGCAGGGCCCAAGCACTTGGGCCATCCTCCACTGCACTCCCGGGCCACAGCAGAGAGCTGGCCTGGAAGAGGGGCAACCGGGACGGAATCCAGTGCCCCAACTGGTACTAGAACCCGGTGTGCCGGCGCTGCAGGTGGAGGATTAGCCAAGTGAGCCATGGCGCCAGCCCTGATTCTGGTTTTAAAATACATGGAAGACAAAGTACTGGAGTGCCATCCATTCACAGTAGCGTGGAAACTACAGTGACCCTAACATGAACCCAATAGATGTGCAAGAGCTTTCTGGAAACAGTGACTCTACTTAATTGACAGTGCGGCAGGAGCTGTAAGTGGATGGAGAAACGTGTGTCCTGCTCACAGATGAGAAGGCTCAGTATTGTCAAGGGTCAGCTTTCCCCAACAAAGCCATAAAGTCAGCGCGACCACTCTCAGAATTGCTGCAGATTCAGTGATGAAACTTGGCTAGCCAACTTGGGAATTCACAAATGTGCAAGACGAGAGTTTGGGTGGAGGGGGCTGGTCCCGCGAGACATGAAAGCAGGAGTAGTGATTACAACAGAGTTTCAGTGCAAGCAGAGAACATTCAGTTTGTGGGCAACATGTAATAGGTGGGAATTGAGTGTAAGGTGAGGCTTGCATTCGTATCTGAAGGAAGGAATGTTTGAGAAACAGACCATGGGGCCAGTGTTGCAGCACAGCCAACAAAGCTGCTGCTCACGATGCCAGCTCTGTTGGGAGTCCCAGCTGCTCCATTTCTGATCCTACTCCCTGCTAATGTGCCTGGGAAAGCAGTGGAAGATGGCCCAGGTGCTTGGGCCCCTACTCTCACGTGGGAGACCTGGAAGAATCTCTTGGCTCCTGGCTTCCGCCTGGACTAGAGCTTGCAATTGTGGCTGTTTTGGGGAGTGCACTAGCTATTTGGAGATGGAAGATCTGTGTGTGTGTGTGTGGTATGTCACTCCCTCCTTAAAATAAATAAATAACCTTTAAGGAAAAGACGATGTTCAAGGCATTGGACAGAGAGAGATGGGCACGACACAACTGGGGCTGTCCACGTGGAACTTACAGTCCAGCGGTTAAGAATTGCAGGAGAAAATGCCCCATGTGGAGACGTGTCTAGTTGTGGGACTCCACTTTCATGGAGAATCTTTTAGACTTTTTAGTCTCAGAGAGTCTTTTAGGAAGCTGATGGCTTTAAAAGGGCTTTTTTTTTTCTTTAAAAGGAAAATGTTTATTTGAAAGGCACAGTTGAGATGGAAAGAGATCTTCCATCTGCTGGTTCACTCCAAACATTTTGAACTGAGCTGGTATAAAACTAGGAGCCAGGAACTTCCTCTGGATCTTCCACGTGGGTAGCAGAGGCCCAAGGACCTGAGCCATCCTCTACTGCCCTCCGAGACCCATTAGCAGGGAGCTGGATCAGAATTGGAAAGAGCCCGGACTCAAACGGGCACCCGGATGGGATGCTGGCGACACAGGTGGCCACGCCCCAACGCTGGCCCCGATTGGCTTGTCTTCTACCAGAGCAACATTCGCAGACAGTTGAGAGAGCACTGGAACATTGTGGTGTCATGTGTTCGAACCCGAGTTGCAGTGCTGCAGGGAAGGCTGGAAGTGAAAGGTAGGGAGCTCCCCAAAGGGTGGGGCTGATAGAGAGCAAGTGTGGTCAGAAGACGACAGCACGATTTCAGATGTTTAGGAAGAAACCAATTCCAGAGAGCCAGTAAGTCTAGCAGAAGCTCAGAACAAGCGAAGGGGTAGCGGTAGCACGGACGCCACTTCCCACATCCTGGGTCCCGTCTCCCAGACCCTCATTTTCTACAGGCACCTCACTGTTCCGCAGTGTCCCTTTTCAGTCGGGGACCCCGTCCAGGATCTCACGTGGCATTTAGTCATTGTGTCTCCTCGGGCTCCCCCAGACTTCTTGTATCATTAATGACCATGGCAGTTTGGGGGAGTGCTGATCAGGGTCAGGTGTTTTAGAGGATGCCTGTCTATTAGAATTTGTCTGATGGGTTACTGTTCACTTTTAAGTGAAATTGCTTTTATTTTCTATTTATAAACAACCTTTTTATTGTCTTTAAAAATGAGATTATACAGAATCATTGAGAGTAGAACATGAAGCCCATCTGTAACCCTGGGACTGATACGTGGTGTTCGTTGCTAGTTCAGAATGCATGCTTCCGAATGCTCTGCTTTGCACGCAAATATGTGATTTTCTAGGTTGTTTTCCAATTTAAAAATATTCTGTATCCCAAAGGAAAAGTGAGATAAAGTTGGTAATTTAGACTCACTAGCTCATAATACTTTCCCACTCTTAGACTAAGGTAGTAATAAATGGATTTTTTAAAATTTTTTTCAAGATTCATTTATTCATTTGAAAGGCTTATCATTCAGTCTCTGCTCTTAGTGGAACCCGGACAGAGTTGTTTTGATATCGCCAGTTAAGCCTAAAACAGATTTGGGGGGGCACCATATGTCCCCCAGTGAGAAACATTTTCACAGTGGATGAACCCTTTCACAAGGCGATGGCTTCAGGGCTGGCGTTGTGGCAGCTGCTCCTGTGATACCAGCATCCCACACGGACACCAGTTAGAGTCCCAGCTGCTCCACTTCCAATCACGCTCCCTGCTAATGTGCCTGGGAGGACAGTGGAAGACGGCTCAAGTACCTGGACCCCTGCCACCCAGGTAGGAGACCTGGATGGAATTCCAGGCTCCTGGCTTTGGCCCGGCCCTGACCATTATAACCATTTGAGAAGTGATCCAGCAGATGGAAGCACCCTCTCCCTCTCTCTCTACCCTTCCCCCGCCCCATCACTCTGCCTTTCAAATAAATAAGGTAAATACAAATGATGAGAAGTGATGACCTTGTAGCCTTGGTAGAAGCAGCACCTGCCTCCATAGCCCTACTGTTACAGTGAGATGTCTGTGTTTTGATGCACCCAGGAACGCGTTCGCCGAGGAGGATTCTGAATTAGTGGTGAACTACATAGCAAAGAAGTCCTTCTGTCGGCGAGCCATCGAGCTTACCTGTAAGTTGACTTTTGTTTCGCCTCTTGACCAGTGTTAATGTAGTTGAGAGGAAAGAAAAAACAGCCCACAGATAGATGTCTAACAAAAGCCAGAGGAGTCAGAGAGTGGATGTTTTTAACATACGTGACATTTTCAGAAACCGGTGATGAGATAGACCCTGCCATGGCACTGCTGCAGGCTGGCCCTAGGGCCCAGTGACCAGGGCAAGGGGAACCTGAGGGCTAAGTCGGGGATTTAAGGGAAAGGGCAGAGCGATGGTCATCCTCTCAAGTCTCGCTTCCTGTTTTCCTGGCAACCACCTCGGGGGACAGTTTGCCAACATGCTTTTGTAGCAATTATGGGTTGAACATCGCTGACTCAGAGTGGGGCCTTCTGGTTTGTCAAGAGTGGAGCCAAACAGATAACAGTGTTCTTGAATAATTTCAGAAACAATGTAGGAAGTATGTGCAAATATTATCAAACTCATGTGTCTGGATGCTTGCCCCAAAAAGTACGTAGGACTGATGGAATACAGGCTGCTACGGAATAAAACCTCACTTGAGTATAAGGGGGTCTATTTTATTTTATTGACAGGCAGAGTGGACAGTGAGAGAGAGAGAGAGAGAGAAAGGTCTTCCTTTTGCCGTTGGTTCACCCTCCAATGGCCGCCGCGGCCGTCGCGCTGCGGCTGGCGCACCGCGCTGATCCAATGGCAGGAGCCAGGAGCCAGGTGCTTTTCCTGGTCTCCCATGGGGTGCAGGGCCCAAGCACTTGGGCCACCCTCCACTGCACTCCCGGGCCACAGCAGAGAGCTGGCCTGGAAGAGGGGCAACCGGGACAGAATCCGGCGCCCGACCAGGACTAGAACCCAGTGGGCTGGCGCTGCAAGGCTGAGGATTAGCCTAGTGAGCCGCGGCGCCGGCCAAGGGGGTCTTTTAAAAGTTCATGGGAAGTGCATAGTAGGAGAAAACTGCATGGATGCAAACATTTTTTGCATCAAAGTAAATTTATCTTTTAATTCTGTTTTCCACTAACTTTGTCAAGTACCTTTAAATATTTTTTTTTACTTTTCCAACCTATATGTGTTTTGACTTTTCAATGTCTCTGTTATTGCATTTAAAAATTTTTATTGGACAGTTTCTTCCTTTATTGGGAGGCCAATATTAAAATTTTTCTCTAAGAGCTAATGTGTTGTTTCTGATTATTCATATATTCTTCTTTTGAAGGTTGGCCCATCCTTTAACTGTGGCCCAAGCTGAATCTCCCTCTCTGGGTTAATTCCTCTTGTTGCCAACGTACTGTCAGTGTGTTCCGTACTGTGTTGCCGCTTCCCAGTTCTAAGGGACTCCATTGAGCACTTTCCGCGTCGTCATAGTGAGGTTCCGTGTGGCCAGCAGCTGGGTCTGCAGACGTGTTCTGTGGTTTGTGTGTCTCTCTTTCCCGCAGTTAGGGATAAGCTGGGAAATGCTCACTAGCGAGAGCCCGCTGACTTGTCTGCCTTCCTCCTTCAGGTCGAGGGCCAGTCTCCCCTCGATGAATCTGATTGCTGGCTGCTGGACTGCACAGTGGGCAGAGGAACACTCTTCTCGTTTACCAATTTTAGGAATTCATTCCTGCCCAGAGCATTTATTGTACTCACTGTAATCGTGGTAGCCTTCATTGCGATGTTTTTTTGTGGGTTTTTTTTTTTTTAATTTGTTATTTGAAAGACAGAGTTACAGAGAGAGGTGGTGACAGAGAGGTCTTCCATCTGCTGGTTCACTCCCCAGATGGCCGCAATGGCCAGAGCTGCGCCAATCCGAAGCCAGGAGCTTCTTCCAGGTCTCCCACGTGGGTCCAGGGTCCCAAGGACTTGGGCCATCTTCTACTGCTTGCCCAGGGCATAGCAGAGAGCTGGATTGGAAGAGGAGCAGCCAGGACTAGAACCGGCATCCATATAGGATGCCGGCACTTCAGGCCAGGGCTTTAACCCGCTACACCACAGTGCCAGCACCCATTGCAATGTTTTACCACTGGCATTTTGGGGGGAGAAAGAATGAGTACAAAATTTTCATATGCTTAACTATATATAAGACTTTAAATATTATTTTAATTATAAGCCCCTCTGACAGCTTTTGTACTTTCTCTGTTACTCCTTTTGTAGTGCACAGCTTGGGAGTCAGCGAGGAGCTGCAAAATAAACTAGAAGATGTCGTGATTGACAGGAATCTTCTAGTTCTTGGGAAAATTCTGGGTGAAGGTAAGCAGGCTAAAGTAACCCTTTTAAAATGCACAGGAACCTCCGATGTTGTGGCTCAGTGGGTTAAGCTGCCACTTGTGACACCAGCATCCCGTACCAGAGCGCTGGTTCAAGTTCTGGCTGCCCCACTTCCAACCCAGCTTCCTGCTAATATGCCTGGGAGAGCAGAGCAAGATGGCAGAAGTACTTGGGTGCCTGCCACCCATGTGGGAGATCTGGATGGAGTTCTGGCTCCTGGCTTCAGGCTGGCTTAGCCCTAGCTGTTGAAGGCATCTGAGGAGTGAACCAGCAGATGAAAAATGTGTGTGTCTATTTCCCTCTTTCTGTGTCTCTCTGACTTTCAAATAAATAAAATAAATCTTTAAAATGTGTGATAAGGAGGTAAGAAGTTGAAGGGAATTTTTAAGTGTGTATGTATTACATAAAATATTTTTATCACTTTGGGTTATAATACAAATTGCTCTATGTTATAATTCAATGTGATAAATGGTAATTTTCTTTTTTTAGATTTTATTTATTCATTTGAGAGGTAAAGTTACAGACAGAGAGAGGGAGAGACAAGACAGAAAGGTCTTCCATCCACTAGTTCACTCCCCAAATATCCATAAGAGCCGAAGTTGGGCTGATCTGAAGCCAGGAGCCAGGAGCCTCTTCTGGGTCTCCCACGCAGGTGCAGGGGCCAAAGCACTTGGGCGATCTTCTACTGCTTTCCCAGGCCATAGCAGAGCGCTAAATCAGAAGTGGAGCAGCCTGGACGTGAACAGGCACCCACAGGCAGAGACTTAATCTACTATGCCACAAGCACTGGCCCCCAATGGTGATTTTTGGAACTAGATTTGGCAGATTGCAAAGACTTCCACAGTGCTTAGGACTACATAGTAGTCCATGAAAATTATGAATTCCCCTTCTTTATTGAAAAGTCTGCAATTCATGGGTCAGTTTGCTTTGTATACATCTAGTTCTTAAGTTTAGTATGTTCTTGGACCCTCCCTAAGTAGTTACATAGGAACAAAGGTGAAAACATGTATTTAATTTGTTAGATTGTTCTTAGGATACATGATAATGGGGTTGAGAGTTTGTGCTTCATGGGCTCCAATACTGTTTGCCATGTTCTCCTGCACGTGTCTCGGGTCAGTTATAATGTTGAAGAAAGTGATGAGCCAGGCTGCTCCTCTGAGCCGCCAGCCAAACTTGTGATAAACAGGAGACCAGTGCATGGTGCGTGCCTAGATTTGTGAGCATGCGCAGCCTGGGCAGGCTCTGCCTGCCTGCCTGTGGAGGGGTCGTTCACGGACCACAGAGAAAGGACCACCGAAGTATTGCTATGGGCAAAGGAGAGATTCCAGAGCATGCACGTGCGTAGCTGTTTTTTTTTTTTTTTTTTTTTTCCCCAGGAGAGTTTGGGTCTGTGATGGAAGGAAACCTTAAACAGCAAGATGGAAGCTCTCAGAAAGTGGCAGTGAAGACCATGAAGTGTGAGTTGTCTGTAACGAAATCCATTTCTACCGGGGGGCGCATTGCAGTGCTGGGGGCTCCTCAAGACCGTGGTGGCAGTCGTAGGTCGTAATCGCAGTCACCGATGACTCAGAAGACACTGGTCACCAAGCAGAAGTGAGGACAATGAGCTCTTCATTCATGCATTGCAGCTTCCTTGCACGCAAGACAAAAGCATTTGTTACTTTTACATTACATTACATTAGAGAGAGCATTCTCTCTCTGTCGTCATCATCATCGTCGTCATCATCCTCATCACCATCTAGCAGGGATGAAGACGTCATGCATTTCTGAGGGAGGGTGGTCCGATGGCAGCCTCTGATCCTAGAGGTTGGTCCTGGCTGCTATCTCTAGCTTGGTGGGGCCACTTCCTCAATTGAGGATGTTTGCATCGCCCTCAGGAAGCTGTGGGCTGTCTGGAGGGTAAGTTTCCCAGAGAAGGGAGCACAGTCTTTGATCAGTGGCATATGAAGAATTGCTATCATAAGCTAGAACCTCCAAGCAAGCTGGGAAGAGGGCCAGCAGCCTGATGACGAGAGGCCTCGCAAGTCATACCAAAGACTCTTCTTTCATCCTGCAAAGAGCAGATTACTATTAAGAGTCTTAAACAAGTGAGGAACAGAGCAAATCACATTCTAGAAAGTTCACTTTGGTGGCAGTGGGGAGGAGAACGAATTACAGTGTTGATCAAAATAGTAATAGATGCCAGTCAGAGCACTCTAGAATCTATGCAGATATCTATGTAGATACGGAAAGTGTCTATAGTGGTGACTTGTCTAATCAAAATCGAGAAGGGGAACAGGTTGTGCTGGACTTCTTCATTACCATGAGATGTCCAGGCTTGATGATAGCACAAGAGCGCATTTCTTCCACTTCCTTCTAGGAATTGCATTTCTGGGGCTGGGGACACAAAACTACACTTGATTTCCCCGTGTCTGGCTGGCCCTGGCTCGTGCGGTGGCATCCGGAAAGTAGACCACGGTCATGTGGCATTTCACCTGCAGGCTTCCCCATGATTTGTATGGATAGAGATTAGTCATTGCTTGGTGTTTTTTTTTTCTTTTTAATCTTGATCCTGCTTCTTTCTTACCCCCACATAGATGTTCAATATCATTTGACCAAGGAGTAAAGTAAAAGAGGTATCTGCCTAAAATGCAAATCCAGTGTGTGCTGGACAGTCAAGTACAAGTTAGATCGTAAGCTTGTATTGAAACTCTTGAACGAAAATCAGAGATTGAAGTTTTCATTCTGTTGTAAAATGTAACCATGACCGTGACGTCACTTTGGCCGATGCCGTCCACTTTCTGGCCTATAATCGTGGCTTGCATTTACGTAGCACTTACTTGAGCTGAGGACGTCACAGTCATTTCTGCATTTCATCAGTACGGCAGGAGCAGCACCAGCCCCCAGAAACTCAGACGCCTGAGCTAGAACACTCAGCAGAGCTGAGCCCATGCTCTGTGCCAGTCCTGCCTCCTATATTATTTTATTGGAGCCTCATCACATATCTAGGGGAAGTCATCCCCTTCTCCCATTGAGGGATTATAAGGCAAGAAGGTTGATGACTCCTGATAGAAGGAGCTGAGCCTAGAACTTGAACTTGAGTCTTCCCTGGCTTTGGCTCTGCTGTTCTTTAACTTAATTGTAATTATTTGGTTAATTATACCAATTGTATCCATGCAAATTATAAAAAATTAAAAGAATAGTCTCTGGTCTCAAATTCCCTGGTTCATATCCATTTGCCCGAGAGTTGGTCTCTGGGGGAAGGATTTGTAGGTAGACCCCTACCTCTTCTGTTCTGCACACTTGGTTTGCAGCAAAGGGAATAAGTGAGGACAAAGTTGGCAAGCGTTTTATGGAGATATATATATATAAATAAAAGATACATATACTTATACATATATACTTAGATAATATACTTTAAAACTTTTCCAACATTTTCTCTAATAGGAAGATTAATATATACTAAGCCTATAGGATGATACAGACATGGTGGGCCTGAGGCTCTCATTTGTGATTTCTTTTTTTTTTTTTTTTTTGGAGATTTATTTAGAGAGAGGCATATGCAGAGAGAGAGAGAGGTCTTCCATCCACTGGTTCACTCTCCAATTGGCTGCAATGGCCGGAGCTGCGCCTATCCAAAGCCAGGAGCCTGGAGCTTCTTTCAGGTCTCCCACGCGGGTGCAGGGGCCCAAGGACTTGCTGCTTTCCCAGGCCATCATATGTGATTTCAATCACAAGTTGCACCCTCTTAAAGGCAAATCTGAGGAAGCCTGGCTTTATGTTTTGCTTTTACTTTTGGTAAAATGCGGGGTAACGTTATGGCATGACGGGTTAAGCCACTGCCTACAATGCCTGCATCCCACGTGGGTGCCAGTTTGTGTCCTGGCTGCTCCACTTCTTTTTTTTTTTTTTTTTAAAGATTTTATTTATTTATTTATTTATTTGAGAGAGTGAGAGGGAGAGACAGAGAAAGATCTTCCATCCATTGGTTCACCAGCAGATGAAAAATTGCTCTTGCTCTCGCTTGCTCTCTCTTTCTATATAAATAAATCTTTCTTTAATTTAAGATGAAAGACACATAACATAAAATTGACCATCCTAGCCCATGTTAAGTGAGCAGTTCAGTGGCATTGAGCACATTCACATTGTGCAACCCTCAGCACCATCCGTCTGCAGAACTCTTGCGTCTTGCGGAACCGAAGCTGTCTGCAGTAAACACTAACTCCCCAGTCTCCCTTCCCCCAGCCCTGGGCAACCACCGGTCTACTTTCTGTCTCCGCTGTTGACTGCCGGAGGCACCCATTGTAAGTGAAATCTTCCAGTATTTATCTTCTTGTGACTGACTGACTTTACTCAGCGTAATACAGAATTTTAGATGTCTTTCTTAAATTGATTTACTTCCAAAAACTTGAATCTGAAAGTACATTCTGAGGGGCCACCGCCTGCAGCGCCAGCATCCCATGTGGACACTGGTTCGAGTCCCGGCTGCTCCACTTCCGATCCAGCTCTCTGCTATGGCCTGGGAAAGCAGTGGAGGATGGCCTATGTCCTTGGGCCCTGCACCCACGTGGGAGACCCAGAGGAAGCTCCTGGCTCCAGGCTTCAGATTGACACAGCTCTGACCATTGCAGCCAGTTGGGGAGGGAACCAGCAGATCAAAGACCTCTGTCTCTCTCTCTCTCTCTCTCTCTGCCTCTGTCTCTCTGTAACTCTGCCTTTGAAATAAATTAATAAACCTTTAAAAAAAAAAAAAGAAACAAAGTGCACAGTGCAACCTACAGACTCAGAGAACAGGCGCAGAGAGGGACTAGCGCCACCTCCTTTCTCTCTTTCAGGCAAAGGTAATTACAACAGATTAGTTGGAACTGATTTAGTTTGTCTTGGTTTGTGAGCACTCGTTCTGTTACTAACAGACGTCCATTTAGGAGCATACTCGGTTTACAGAAAACTTGTGCAGAAAGTGCAGGTCCCATATGCCTTTTCTTATGTACATTTCTCCATTAACACCTTTCGTTAGGATGGTGTCTTTTTTTTTTAACAAATGATGAACTCACACTGACACACTCTTATTAACTCAAGCCTATAGTTTGTATTAGGGTTCACTCTTGGTGTTGGACAATTCTGGAGGTTTTGGCTAATGATATCATGTGTCCACTGTTGTAGCAGAACAATTTCACAGCCCTAAAAATCCCCTGTGGTTCACTTCTTTGTTCCTCTCTTGTCTCCCCGAACCCAACAACGGCTTTCCTGTCTCCCTTTATGCTGTAGTTTTGCATTTTCCTGGTTTATAGTTTTAGAGAACAAGATCATCATTGCCCCTAACCCCCCCTTAGCCGAGTTGATTATCTGTGCCTAACGTTGCCCATCTGTTTGTTTAGTGGACAACTTTTCGCAGCGGGAGATCGAGGAGTTTCTCAGCGAGGCAGCGTGCATGAAGGACTTCAGCCACCCGAACGTCATCCGACTTCTAGGTACTTCAGAGGAAAGCAGGAGTGGGTGGCCAACGGGGCCGGCTAACCCACTCAGTGCCAAGTGTCTCCTTTGTATGACCCAAAAGAAATTCACTTATTTTTCCCCCAAAGAAACCTTTTATTTAATGAATACAAATTTCATAAGTACAACTTTAGAAGCATAGTGATTCTTCCCACCATGCCCCTCCTCCCACCCCGCCTTCTCCTCCTTCTCCCATTCCCAGTCCCATTCACCATTAAGACTCATTTTCAATTAACTTTATGTACAGAAGACCAACTCTATACTAAGTAAAGATTTCAACAATTTGCACACACACACACACACACACACAAAACTGAGAACAAGTTTTACAGTTAACTCTCACAATATAACTCATTAAGAATAGAAGTCCTGCATGGGAAGTAAGTGCACAGTGACCCCTGTTGTTGATTTAACAACTAACACTATTATGTATGATGTCAGTGACCACCAAGGCTCTAGACATGAGCTCCAAGGCTATAGAAGCTTTTTTAGTCCAAGACTCCATCAGTATTAAAATAGGGCCATAAACAAAGTGGAAGTCCTCTCCTCCCTTCAGAGAAAAGTGCATCCTTCTTCGATGGCCCCTTCCTTCCACTGGGGTCTCATTCACAGAGATCCTTCATATAGAACATTTTTTGCCACAGTGATTTGGCTTTGCATGCCTGAAATGCTTTCATGGGCTTTTCAGCCAGACCAGGATGTCTTAAGGACTGATTCAAAACTCACTTATTTTTAAAACTTATTTAATTTAAAAAGTTTTTTGGTTAACATGAACATTTTTGTGGGGTATAGTGCAATATTTCAACATCAATATGCAGTGTAAACCAAAAGTAATTTAGAACATTGAGTGTTTCATCTAGAAGACTTCTCCTTAGGGCTGCCTTTTCTGATTCTGATGATAAAAAAAGGGTTTGCATTTCCTGGACACTGATGGCCTCAAAAATGGTTCAAGTGTCCCCAGAGTTCTGGAAGACCCCCAATTACTCAAAGGCAAGACACAATATTGGTCATGTTATAATTTTTATTGATTTAATCCATCATATACCAGTGAAGGTAAAATCATAAGAGCAGACAAATTCCCTAAATCATTTCTGAGAAATAATTTGTTAATCTATTTGAAAGCATTGACTTTTTTAAATAATTTATTGCAGAGAGAGAGAGAGGTAGCTTCCACCCCCAGGTTTGCTCCTCAAAAGCCCACAACAGCCAACAAGACAGAAAGCAAGAACTCAGTCCAGGTCTGCCATATGGTGGCAGGAATCCAACTACTTGGGCCATTAACATTGCCTCCCAGGATCCAAATTAATGGGAAGCTGGGGTCAGGAGCTGAAGCTGGGAGTCAAACCCTGGCACTCCAACGTGGGACACAGTCATCTGAACCAGAAGCCAAACACCCGCCCCGAAAGTACTGATTTCACCTAATCATGGTCCACTGACAACCTCATGGGATGGGATTTAGTAATAGTCAGAATTTGGCTCCAGAGGTTAACTACAAAACACAAGTGAAGAGAACAGGTATGGAGCTTAAATCATATACGTGACTATTCCAAGAAAAAGGAGCACCCTGGACATAAAAGAATTTGCTGCTGGCCTTTTGTTTGTTTGTTTGCTATCCTGTGACTTGCTAAGTTCTGTTGAGATCTTTCAACGTGGACACCACAGAGAGACGTGAAAACTAACGCTTGTCAGAGAAACTACTGTTACTCACTGCAGCTACTGGGGGTCACAGTTGCCACTGAGTGATTGTGCCACAAAGTGCAGGAGTTTGCAAGTCCAGCGTCACCTGACAGGTTCTCGTTCTAGAATTCCATGGTCAACACGATCAGAGTTTCTCTCTCTCTCTCTCTCTCTTTTTTTTTTTTTTTTTTTTTTTTTTTTTTTTTTTTTTGACAGGCAGAGTGGACAGTGAGAGAGAGAGACAGAGAGAAAGGTCTTCCTTTGCCATTGGTTCACCCTCCAATGGCCGCCAATGGCAGGAGCCAGGTACTTATCCTGGTCTCCCATGGGGTGCAGGGCCCAAGCACTTGGGCCATCCTCCACTGCACTCCCGGGCCACAGCAGAGAGCTGACCTGAAAGAGGGGCAACCGGGACAGAATCCGGCGCCCCGACCGGGATTAGAACCCGGTGTGCCGGCGCCGCAAGGCGGAGGATTAGCCTAGTGAGCCGCGGCGCCGGCCTCAGAGTTTCTCTTGTGTATAACTGTGAGGACTCAGGATGTGGATTTTGCCAAAGGCCCTCAAAATTGTTCTCCGAGTTTTAGCACTTTGTTGTGGTGGACCTCTTCATAGGATAAGGCATTTGACCGTCACACGACACCCCTTTGCCCCCCAACTTCTCAGGAGGTCACTACCCCTCAGTTATACGTAGTCCCTAGGTTCCTGGGTGCCTGTCCTCATTAGAGGCTGACAGACGGCCCTCTCATGCAAAGACTGGCCCTAATCTGAAATGTGGATACAGCAAGTAGTGGTCCACACTGTAGAACACAGAGTTTTGTAAAGCGCTCACTTGGTCACACAGGGTTTCCCCTTGGCGAGGGGTGCTCCAGTGCTGTTCTGGTGAACCCCAGCAAGGGCTGTGGTAACTGCCTGTGCTTCTGCCTTCAGGTGTGTGTATAGAAATGAGCTCTCAAGGCATCCCCAAACCCATGGTGGTTTTACCGTTCATGAAGTACGGGGATCTGCATACCTACCTCCTTTATTCCCGACTGGATACAGGATCGAAGGTAACAGTCCTTGCATTGCTTCCCCCAGTTGTCAGGGCTTACGTGACAGAGCAGGACACCCCCCCACCCCGAGTGTAACCCTGAGAGTGAGGGCGGGAAGGAGAGGACACAGACCTCTGTTCAGGGCTCCCTGTGCACCAGCGGCTGCGGCGTGCTCTCCAACCTCACAGCAGGCCTCTTGCAGGTGCAACACTCCCTCTCTGTGGCGGCAGGAGGCTGGGCTGGCCGCTCGGTCTCATGACCACGGCTTCGCCAACTCTGGAGAGGGTGTGTCTGGCTCCTAGTCCTGCCCCGTGTGCCTGTCTTGTCCTCAAAGCTTCAGACGCTGGGAAGGCCATTGACGATGGCCCTCCTCAAAGAACGTTACAGGGGCTCCTGGAGGGATTCATGGAGTTTAGCCTTTGAAGATTCGTGCCTGTTTTTCTGAGAATAAATACTTTTATGATAGTCCTACTCTAAGAAGATGAATTGCAGTCAAATACGTTGAGTCTAGAGGCCTGCACAGCTGAAGTTCTTACACGTTTGCGGTGCTGCAGCCGTGAGGACCGTGACGCCCGGACACTTTGGATGTAGCTGTAGAGGCAGCTGTGGGTCACCGGGGACGTTAGGACCCCAGAACTAGAGCCTTGCTCTCCTCAGGGTCAGTTCTCAGCATTGACTTCAAGAGTTGTGGAGCTTGGGGCCGGCGCCACGGCTCAATAGGCTAATCCTCCGCCTGCGGTGCCGGCACACCGGGTTCTAGTCCTGGTCGGGGCGCCAGATTCTGTCCCGGTTGCCCCTCTTCCAGGCCAGCTCTCTGCTGTGGTCAGAGAGTGCAGTGGAGGATGGCCCACGTGCTTGGGCCCTGCACCCCATGGGAGACCAGGAGAAGTACCTGGCTCCTGCCATCGGATCAGCGCGGTGCGCCGGGCGTGGCGGCCATTGGAGGGTGAACCAACGGCAAAGGAAGACCTTTCTCTCTCTGTCTCTCTCTCTCTCACTGTCCACTCTGCCTGTCAAAAAAAAAAAAAATTGTTGAGCTTGGAAATCATAGTCGGTGAGGACATTGCCTGCTTGTTTGCTTTGAAGATGTATTCATTTATTTATTTGAAAGGCAGAGTGACAGAGAGAGAGAGAGATCTTCCACATATTGACTTCCTCCTTCAATGGCCACAATAGCCGGGGCTGGGCCAGGCTGAAGCCTGCAGCCAGGAATTCCATCTGGTCTCCCACATGGCTGGCAGGGTCCCAGGTACTTCAGGCATCATCAACTGCCTTCCCAGGGGGCTTTCGCAGGGTTTGCATGGGTAGCAGAGGAACCAGGACTTGAGCCAGCGCTCTGACATGCGATACGGACGTCCCAAGCATTGGTTTAACCCATTGCACCACAATGCCCACCCCTTCTTCTTATCTGAAATAAAAATGCTGAGCTCACATCTCGTTTCCTGGGGACAGACCCACGGACTAGGAGCAGGAGGTGTGAGTTGTGTCCTGGCTCTGTGCCTGGCTGAGCTGCACCCTCTCTGCCCCTCACTCACCTTCTCTGTCTGTCTCTGTGGGGCTCTGGTAGGGCACACATGTGGGCACAGGGTGGTGCTGGCCTCCGTCAGCAGTCATCTTGTGTTGGAACAGAAGTCGTTCCAGGCCCACACTGCCATGAAGCAGCACAGGTCCTGGAAGGGAACCTTGGCTTTGCTCTAAATAGGTTTGAATGTTGAGAACCTGTTGAGACTGGCTTCCTCCACTCAGCACTGTGCCTTTGAGACCCAGTCCAGTTGTCTTATCAGTCGTCATTCCTTGTTCATTGCTGTGTAATATTCCATTGAATGGATATACCATGGCTTATCTGTTTACCTGTTGAACATATGGGTTGTTTCCAAGTCTGGGGCATCATGAATGAAGTTGCTATCAACATTCAGGTACGGGGTGGGCATTTGGCACAGAGGTTAAGAAGCCACTGGAGATGTTTGCATTCTGTACTAGGGGCCTGGGTCTGAGTCTCAGCTCCATTCCCTGTTCCAGGTTTGGTTTTGGTTTTGAGTTGCTTTTGTTTGGTTTTAAGGATTTTTTTATTTGTTTATTTAAAAGGCAGAGTTACAGAGGGAGAGGGAGAGACAGAGAGAGCTGTTCCATCTGCTGGTTCACTTCCCAGAAGCCCTCAACAGCCGGGCTGAACCCAGGAGCGCCATCCAGGTCTCCTACTTGGGTAGCAGAAGCCCAAGTACTTGAGCCATCCACCCCTGCCTTCCCAGGTGGAGCAGCCAGGACTCGAACCAACACCCACATGAGATGCCTACGTTGTAGGTGGTGGCTTTACCCACTACGCCACAATGCTAGCTCCCTGTTTCTGAGTTTTGAGAGTTATTTATATAATCTACTGGCAGTTCCTTCACTGGGACATGTGATCTGCAGAGATTGCTCTACTAGTTTAGAGTTTATCTAGGCATTTTCTTAACATGAGCAAAAAAAAATTAGAAATTTTAATCAAGTCCAGTTTATTTGTATATTTTTTTCTTTCATGAATCATGCTTTGGCTTTCTTATCAGAGACCTCTTTGCCAATCCATGAGAAAGGAAGTTTTCCCCTAGGTTTCCTTCTAAAAGTTGTGTGGCTTTACACGTTATGTTTAAGTAGATGACCCATTGTGAGTTAATTTTCATATAAAGTGTAGGATTCAGCTCAAGGTCCTTTTTCAGCATATGATGGCCACCATCATTTGTGTGAAGTTCGTCCTTAATCCTTTGCATTGCTTTGACACCTGTCAGGTATCAGTTGGCCACACATTTGTGCATCTGAGTTCTGTTCTGTTCCATTAAACCATGCTGTCCTCATTGCAGTGGCTTCTTCTTTTTTATTTTTTATTTATTTATTTTTTGACAGGTAGAGTGGACAGTGAGAGAGAGAGACAGAGAGAAAGGTCTTCCTTTGCCGTTGGTTCACCCTCCAATGGCCGCCGTGGCTGGTGCGCTGCGGCCAGCACAGCACACTGATCTGAAGCCAGGAGCTAGGTGCTTCTCCTGGTCTTCCATGGGGTGCAGGGCCCAAGCACTTGGGCCATCCTCCACTGCATTCCCTGGCCACAGCAGAGAACTGGCCTAGAAGAGGGGCAACCAGGACAGAATCCAGCACCCTGACCGGGACTAGAACCTGGTGTGCCGACGCCGCAAGACGGAGGATTAGCCTAGTGAGCCGCGGCGCCGGCCTGCAGTGGCTTCTAAGTCAGAATTATGGGATGCGATTCCCCCTGCTTCATTGAGCTTTTCCAGAACTGACCTAGCTCGGCTGCTTCTGTCGCCCTCCAGGATGAGTTTTGGAAGCAGCCTGTCTGTGCCTGCCACAGGCTCTGCTGTGCTTTGAGATTCTTTTGAAGAAAATAACAAGGGAGGGAGACAAGCACCCAGCGTTTTACCGATGGATGAATGGTTTCTTATTTGCAAAAACGCAAGTCTGTCTGCAGTGATGGAAAGCGACTCCCGAGAGTTAGAATTAGGAAAAGGGGGTGCATTTTCATAGTCTGACTCAGCAGCCACAGATGAAGACGGAAGGCAGCAAAGTGCATGGGCAAACTGAAGACCAAGCTGTTATTCAGATCTTTTCTTTGCCCCTGCTCAGTCAGTCCCCCGGGAATAAAGACCTTTTGTCCCCTGTAGAGTGGCCCAGGTCTCAGCCTATGTTCACGTGCTTCTCTGTCAGGGCCTGGGTGCCACTGTGTGCTTCCTGTGAACAGCGCCCCCGCAGGTGTGCAGGGCACATAGGCAGGTGACAGGACACAGACACGGTCCCACAGAGCTGACACCAGAAAGGGCAGCAGGCTGTCGTGACACAGGCATCAGGCACAGACAGGAGCAACCTGCTCTGGAGCGTCCAGAGACACTGAATTTTCTGCTGGAGAAACTCTTAAAATATCCTGTGCTTCCGCCGTGACTGTCCTCCAAGGAGTGGTAGGAACGAAATGGGAACTTCAGAGATGCACACAGCCTAGATAAGGTGAGCGATCCAAGAACACACGTGTTCTAGGGAAAGCAGGTTGTCTGCTGTGGCAGAAACTAAGCAGGAGAGCATTAGACGAAGGGCGGCAGAGCCGGGAAGGTAAGTGGGGGCATGTCTGCAGCAGGTAGGACGACCTCACAGCAAGTAGTACAAAAGTCAACTCCTCTGCGGGATGCCTGCGTCACAAACACTGGCTTAACCTGCTGTGCCACAAGGCCGGCGCCCACAGCGCTTTTTAATTTTGATGAAATCCAAGTTCTGTTTTGTGGTGGTGGTAGTGGAGTTGCTTGTACTTTTTTTTTTAAGGGATTTATTTATTTGAAAGGCAGAGTAAGAGAGAGAGAGAGAGAGAGAGGGAGAGAGGTCTTTCATATATTGGTTCAGTCCTCAAATGGCCACAACAGCCAGGGCTGGACCAGGCCAAATCCAGGAGCCAGGAGCTTCTTCCAGGCACTTGGACCATCCTCTGATGCTTTCCCAGGTGCATTAGCAGTGAGGTGGATCAGAAGTGGAGCAGCCGGGACTCAAACCAGCACCCATATAGGATGCCGGTGCTGCAGATAGAGGCTACACCCACTTTGCCTCTGAGCTGGCCCCCTGTGCTTTTGGTGTTATATATAAGACACCATTGCCTAAGTCCAAAAGTCACAAAGACTCACCAGGCCTTATGTTATTTTCCATAAGAATTTTATAGTTTGGGCTCTTACATCTAAATTTTGATCCATCTTCTGGTGAGTTAATTTTTGTGGATACTTTGAAGTAGAGGTCCAGTTTCATCTTTTACGGATGAGAGTTTATCCATCCCAGTATCATTTGTTGAAAACGAGTATTTTTCCCCATTAGCAATGGTCTTGACTTCCTTGTTAGAAGGTATAGAGGTTCCTCAAAAAACCAGAAATAGAACTACCATATGTATAATCCAACAGTTCCACTGCTGGGCGTATATCCAAGGGAAATGAAACCCATCTTCAAACAGCTGCACTCCCATGTTTATGCAGCGCTGTTCACAGTAGCCAGGAAATGGGAACAAGTGTCCATCCACTGATGAATGCATTCAAAAAAGTGCTGCATGTACACAGTGGAACATTACTCAGCCCTGAAAAGGATGAAATCTTTGCAATCACATGGCTGGACCTGCGGGTCATTATGTTAAGTGAAATAAGCCAAGCATGACACATGTCCCCTGATCTCACTCATCTGTGTAGTCTAAAATCAAAAGTGATCTCCAGGAGTTAGAAATACAGTGGTGGTAACCAGAGGCTGGGGAGAGGAGTGGGAGGCAGCGATGTTGAATGGTTGAGTGATGGGGACTAGGTTACAGGTAGATGGGAGTAAGAAGTTTGGGGTTCTAGTGCACAGTAGGGTGATGGTGGATAATGTTATTTTATTGTATATTTCTCTGTAAAAAACCTACCACATGGGATTTTTGGATGTTTTTCTCTAAAGAAATGTGAAATGCATGAGAGGATAAATATATTTACCCTGAATGGAGATTACACAGTGTATACATCAAACAAAATTTCACTCCATAAGTATTTGAAATTTTTATGTCAGTTACATGTTGTAAATTTTAAAAATGTAACGTGACAGTTAATTGACCACATATGGATTTATTCCTGGACTCTCCGTAGTCCATTGATCTGAATATCTCTCCTTTTCCCAGTATCACATTATCTTAATTATAGTTGCAGTGTAGCAAGTTTTGAAATCAGTAAGTATGACCCCTCCATCCTTGTTTGTGTGCAAGCTGATTTTGGCATATTCTGGGTTCCTTGAGTTTCTCCAAGCGCTCCAGTATGTGTTGTGGGCACCCTAACCTGAGCCTGAATCTCTGTGCCAAGCGTCTGCCCCTCCAAGTTTTCTCTGCACAGTGATGTTTCTTCTTGTTCCTCCAACGTGTCCGTTTCCACCGAGAAGCGAGCTGATGGTCTGATGGGGTTTGTGTTCAGTCTCCTCCATGGCCTCTCAGAGGGCGCAGTCTCATTTGGCCTCATAACATGGAAAGAAACAGAATGCTGCACATCATACTTTTAAAGCTGGGGAGAAGAAAATGTGACATATGCCAAGAATTTTTTACTGTTTTTTGTTGTTGTTTTTGTTGTTCTTTTTTAAAATTTTATTTGTGGGGCTGGCGCGTGGCGCAGTAGGTTAATCCTCCGCCTGCGGCGCTGGCACCCCATATGGTCGCCGGTTCTGGTCCCAGCTGCTCCACTTCTGATCCAGCTCTCTGCTGCGGCCTGGGAAAGCAGTAGGAGATGGCCCAAGTGCTTGGGCCCCTGCAACCATATATATGGGAGACCAGGAAGAAGCTCCTGGCTCCTGGCTTCGGACTGGCACAGCTCCAGCCATTTGGGGAGTGCTCTCGCTGTCTGTAACTCTACCTCTCAAGTAAAAATATAAAAATCTTTAAAAAAAATGTATCTGTAATGCTAATGATATGAAATCACAAGATTTGTTTCCTTGTTTCACGACCACACCTTAGCAAATAAGGATACCATTTCTCCTTCAGTTGGAAGTAACTTGCTAAGCTTTCCTTTTTCAAAAGCTTGTATTTATTTATTTGAGAGACAGAAACAGCAGTTGCCATCCACTGGTTCGCTCCCCAAATGCCCACAACAGCTGGAGCTGGGCCAATCTAAAGCCAGGAGCTGGGGATTCAGCCTGGCTTGGTGGGTGGCAGAGACCAAAGTAAGTTGAGCCAACAGCGGCTAACTCCCGAGGTGTGCATTAGCAGGAAGCTGGAACATGGACTCAAACCCAGGCGCTCCAGTATGTGTTGTGGGCACCCTAACCCGAGCCTGAACCTCTGTGCCAAGCGTCTGCCCCGCCAAGTTCTCCCTGCACAGTGATCGTTCTCCTTGTTCCTCCACTCCCTAGCACATCCCTCTGCAGACGTTGTTGAAGTTCATGGTGGACATTGCCCTGGGAATGGAGTATCTGAGCAACAGGAACTTTCTGCATAGAGATTTAGCTGCTCGAAACTGCATGTAAGATCCTGGGACATCCTGGAAGCTGTTGGGCCTCATGGTGTTTAACCTGTGCTTGGGGGCTGGGACCGGGGTGGCCTGTGGCTGGCAATACACGCAGGGAAGCAAGGCTTGGGGTTATCGGCCTGGCTTGCTCTGAAGATGGGATGTCTATGGCTGTGATTATGATTGGGGTTTTGCTTGGAGCTTTTCACCCTCTGCCTGGTGGGCCTTCAGCGTTTCCTCCTGCGATCACTTTTTCATTTTCACTCTTGCTGTGCCAGGAGGGTAGGCACGATCTTCCCCCACTGCCGTCAGCTGGCTTTGGAGCCAGAGTTACAGCGGGGCAGCTCATCAGGAAGGCAGTAATGAGCACCGTGTAGGTTTTCTCCCCGAGTTTCCACGCTGCTTGCTTGTGAAGAGGCTTTGAGTGTTGAATTCACAGCCCCCTTCCTTTCACAGCAGACAAGAGCTTCTTATACCAGAACTGTGAACTGAAGTTCCCCTATTTCTTCAGCCTGTTTCAGTAAAGCCATTTTCTGTTGTAAATCTTCAAAACCAATAACTGCTCCTTGAGTGTGAGGTTACTGTTGGGAGAAGAGAGAGTGCTTCTTCATGTGTTGTTGTCGTTGGTTTTTCATGGTCAGAGATGTGGCAGTGGCACCTGCTCTGTGTTCCTCATTCTTCCCAGCCAGCCCTGCCCTGGGCCCTATGCTCTTGCCTCATTTTTGAAATTCCCAGAGAAGTTAACATTGTAGGGCTGTTTTTCATTTAAATACATTTTCTACCATAGAAGGAAAACCATGAAAACTTTTTTTTGTCTTAATATTTCTTTTCATGTTTTTCCTACTGGGTGGGGTGGCTGGGTCTGCGGTTTGTCTTGGACTGGAGGGTTTCCTAGGATGTGGGACTTTCAGTTTTAAAAGTCTGTGATGTGGGGCTAGCATGGTCACAGCAGGTTAAATGCTGCCATCTCATATCAGAGTGCTAGTTCGAGTCCTAGCCGCTCCACTTCCAATCCAGCTGCCTGTTCATATGCCTGGGAAAGCAGTGGAAGATGGCCTGGGTACTTGGGTTCCTGCCAACCATGGGGGACACCCAGATGGAGTTCCAGGTTCCTGGCATCAGCCTGGTCCGGCCCCAGACATTATGGCCATTTGGAGAGTTAACCAACGGATAGAAGATCTCGCTCTCGCTCGCTCGCTCGCTCTGCCTTTCAAATAAAATTTTTTAAAGATTTATTTATTTATTTAAAAGAGTTACACAGAGAGAGGAGATGCAGAGAGAGAGAGAGAAAGAGAGAGAGTGAGAGAGAGGTCTTCCATCTGATGGTTCACTCCCCAATTGGCCACAACGGCTGTAGCTGCACCAATCCGAAACCAGGACCCAGGAGCCTCTTCTGGGTCTCCCACGCAGGTGCAGGGGCCCAAGCATTTGGGCCATCTTCTACTGCTTTCCCAGGCCATAGCAGAGAGCTGGATGGGAAATGGAGCAGCCAGGTCTCGAACCGGTGCCCATATGGCATGCCGGCGCTCAGGCCAGGGCGTTAACCTGCTGCGCCACAGCACCGGCCCCTCAAATAAATTTTAAAAATCTTTCAAAAAGTCTTTATTAGGCAAACAGGATCGATTTGGTCACCTACCCCCAGATCTGCCCTCCTGTTCTTCACGTACTCTTCCGCACCTCCTCCTTTTCCTCCTTCTTCGTGTCTGATCTGTTTTAATAACTCGGGCTGCAACTCTCACTGCACCCCTTCACTTCGGAAGCACCCGCTTGGCCATCTTTGGCGAGAAGCCCAGTGTCTCCTTTACAGCTTGTACTTCCCCACCTCCCCAGGCTGCGGGGGGACTGACCTAGTCCACAGAGCCAGTGCTGCCGCCAGACACCAGGCAGGAAGGCTTCTGGCTGCACGCTGTCCCTCCACCAGAGGCCCCGGCTTTGAGCTGCCGCTCTTCCTGCTCCCGTCGTGCCCCGGCCGACTGTCTCTGACCCTGCACAAGGCGCCCCTGCAGGTCCTGACCCCCACACCGACCAGAGCCGCGCAGGACTCTGTCTCTTTCCAGGCTCCCGGTCCCTTGCCCAGCCACTGACCCCAAAGCTGGCCCCTCACAGGCTGCTGGGGCCCACGTCCTCCTTTGTCACTCATCACGAGTGCTTTCAGCTGCGTCCGACGTAGTCCTGGGATGGAAGGCTTTGCCTCTGAGGCTGCTCAGGATGCGACTCTGCTCTCGGCAGGCTGCGAGACGACATGACTGTCTGTGTGGCGGACTTCGGCCTCTCCAAGAAGATCTACAGCGGGGATTACTACCGCCAAGGCCGCATCGCGAAGATGCCTGTGAAGTGGATCGCCATAGAGAGCCTTGCGGACCGAGTCTACACCAGTAAAAGTGACGTGGTGCGTACGCAGCTCGGACCCGGGGCCCCTCGTGGCCAAGACAGGGGCACAGTGGGAGAAATAACTCAGGCTGGTGCTGCAAGACACTTTATGTTGGGTAAACTGAGGACTGGGGGCATCCCGGGACTTCCCTTTTGTTTCTTGCCAGATGCTTAGCTCAGGGGTAACAACAGAGTCCGGTTAAGCATCTGTGCTTTGCCCACACCCGTCATGTATTTGCAGTTTTCTTTGCTAAAAAAGGGTGACTTAATTGCCCCCAGCTAACACACTTCCTATCCACATTGCATTGAGTGGCTTTTTGGAAGCAAGATGCTGTACAAAAGGTGTTCTGTGATTACCCTGGGCCTGAGCTGGGGAAAATGCCCCCACAAATCTGGGGCAGAGCTTGAAAGTGGGGGGTTTGATGTGACGTGCAGCCATCTCTGCCTCTGCTGAACTTCCCAGAACGGCTTTCGTAAAAATGGGGAGCTGTGACACTCTAGCCCCCCGGTGCTGCGGCTTTGGGAGAGCAGTGCGTCCCAGACATAATTGCCAGCTTTGTGTACAGTCATCAGCTTTAAGAAGTGACCTTTCCCAGTGAAAAAGGCCATTCAGCCTCTGTGGAAAGATCCACATCCTAACTTGTCGTTCTGTTCCCAGTGGGCATTTGGTGTGACCATGTGGGAAATAGCAACGCGGGGAATGACGCCCTACCCCGGGGTGCAGAACCATGAGATGTACGACTACCTTCTGCACGGCCACAGGCTGACACAGCCCGAGGGCTGCCTGGACCAACTGTGAGTGAGCGTCTCTCCGTGTTGCTGGGCATTTGGCTCTACGAAGACCTGGGGGAACACGCCCCGGGGATGTGGTGGGAGGGATGGCTATTGCCAGGTGGACATGTGCACAGGGTGGCACCTGCTGCCATCCAGGCTGGGAGCCACTCCTGGGATGGGAGACAGAGTGTGCCATAGCTGACACATCCAAAAATGCCTGTCCCCACCAGCGGGCATTGTCAAGAGCAGGCCACAGCCCTCGTCCTCTGGGTGCTCGCACAGCTCCAGGAAATACAGCCTGCATGTGAATAGGTCTCCTTTGTAGTGCGTGAGCTCCTGAATGATTCTCTGCCTTCTTTGGGCCCACCTAGCCTTGCCTTTCTAGATAGCATTTCAAACACACAGTAATGCCACCAGTCAGTCTTACCCTTCATCGGGAAGCTTGGAAATCGGTGCCATTGACCTTGAGACCAGGTTGGTCGTCAGAATTGCCTGGGGAGGGAGCCTGTTATGACACAGTGGTTTAAGCTGCCACCTGCAACACCGCCATCCCATAATGGAGCGCTGGTTCAAGTCCCAGCTGCTATACTTCAAATCCAGCTCCCTGCTGATGCACCTAGGAAAGCAAATGATGGCTCGCTCTCTCTCTTTCTTTCTCTCTCTGCCTTTCAATAAAATAAATCTTTAAAAGGCAAGATAGAATAGTTTGGGGCTATTCTAACAGTGTGACTGATCCCTATCTGAGTGCTGATTTAAGTCCAGTTTGAATCCTGGCTACTCCACTTCTAATCCACCTTCCCCACTCATGCATCTTGGGAGGCAGCCGATGATGGCTCACGTGCTTGGCCCCCTGCCACCCACAGGGAGACTCAGGTGGAGTTCCTGGTTCTTGCCTTTGGCCTGGCCCAGCCTTAACTCTTGGGGGCACTGGGAGAGTAAACAATAGATAGAAGATCTCTTACTGTCTATTCTGTCTTCGAAGTAAATGGAAAAAAAAAATGCACCATTCAAAACACCTGCATCCTTCACGGGGAGCGCCTGGGTTCAAGTCCCAGCTCCTCGTGCCAACTTCCTGCTAAAGCACACCCCGGGAGGCAGCAGGTGATGGCTCCAGGAGTTGGGTCCTTCCTGCATTTTGGGGGTGTCTTGACGGCCACACAGCAAGGTGAAGAGGCCCTGGCCTTGGGTCAGACTCTGCCTCCTAACTAGCCATGTGTGCGGTCATGACAGCTGAGCTAACCCCTCTGTACCTCTGATCATCAGCCACAAAACAACTTAGCTTATGCTCTTGAGAGAGTTGCTGTCCAGGTTACATAAGAAAGTGTCTGGAATGTTCAGCCTGTGGGAGGCTTGCGGGGGAAATGCACACCTGAAGATGCCAGGTATCAGCAGCATCTTCACAAACTGATCTCCCCAGGCACCGGGCTGACCTTTTAAAAAGAATGCCTACGGGGCTGGTGCTGTGGTGCAGAAGGTTAATCCTGCGCCTGCGGCGCCAGCATCCCATATGGGCACCGGTTCTAGTCCCGGCTGCTCCTCTTCCAATCCAGCTCTCTGCTGTGGCCTGGGAAAACAGTGGAAGATGACCCAAGTCCTTGGGCCCCTGCACCCATGTGGGAGACCAGGAAGAAGCACCCTGGCCTTGGATCAGCGCAGCTCTGGCCTTTGCGGCCATCTTGGAGGTGAACCAATAGAAGAAAGGAAGGAAGACCTTTCTCTCTCTTTATTTATTTATTTATTTATTTGACAGGTAGAGTTACAGACAGTAAGGGGGAGAGAGAGAAAGATCTTCCTTCCATTGGTTCACCCCCCAAATGGCCGCTATGGGCGGTACACTGCGGCCGGCGCACTGCGCCGATCCAAAGCCAGGAGCCAGGTGCTTCTTCCTGGTCTCCCATGCGGGTGCAGGGGCCCAAGCACCTGGACCATCCTCCACTGCCTTCCCGGGCCACAGCAGAGAGCTGGACTGGAAGAGGAGCAACCAGGACTAGAACCTGGCGCCCATATGGGATACCGGTGCCCCAGGCGGAGGATTAACCAAGTGAGCCATGGCGCTGGCCTCTCAAATAAATAAATAAGATCTTAAAAAAAAAAAAAAAGAATTCCCAGTGAATGCTACCTATGGCTTAGGATTTAGCACCTTCCTAAGAGCGGCTCTGCTCCCCATGTAATAAGGGCCGTGGCCTTGCAGAGGGGCATTCCCACCACATGCAGCAAGAGCATGTCAGAGCTGTGGGCCTGTGCCAGCTGTTGTGGCATATGCTGGGTGCTGGCGCAGGTGAGCGTGTATAGGACCACTCCCCCATCCCACGCTCTGACCCTACTGCCTCAGCTGGGGAGAGGACCCAGGTCAGTTTGCATACAGGCCTCCCAAGTCCTTTCTAAACCAAACAGAAAGAAAACGAGAGATAGACAGAGTTCTCCCATCTTCTGGTTCACTCCCCAAATGCCCACAACAGCCAAGGCTGGACCAGGCCAAAGCCAGGAGCCAGGAACTGAATGTGGGTCTCCCATGTGGGTGGCAGAGACCCAAGTACTTGAGCTATCCCCTGCTTCCTCCCAGAGTGTGTGTTAGCAGGAAGGTAGGATCAGGAGGGGAGCCAGGATTTGAACCAGGCGCTCCAACAGGGGATGCAGGCATCATAAGCAGCGTGTCCACTGCTGCACCAGACACTGCCCCGGCAGGAGACTGCTTTGATCAGGGGCTCGCCTGGCTTGGTGGTGCAGTAGCGATGTTTATTGCGGTTGTAGATGTCTAACATTGAGGACAGAAGGAAACCCTGTAAGCCCTTTAAAAACATCATGCAGTCCTAATTAAATTAGCTCCAGGGTTTCATGGTAGTTCTGAAAAGGACCATGTTAATGAAATGTTTGCTTCTGAACATGAGGACGTAGTTCAGCCAAACAATACGGCCCAGGAAGAGTTTCCTTGCACTTTCTCTCTTAGCTTTCCTGTGCACCCTTTGCGGCGGAGATCTTGGGTCTTAGCAAGGTGCATGCTGCATCCCAGTGTGGTTTTAGATGTTTCGCATACAGTCAACGGAGGGAACCCCGAGCCAGGCTTTTGGAGATCGTTTGGGTGAGTGACCGAGTAGCAAGGTCAGCAGGTGCCGTGTAGCTGGGCAGCCAGGGGGAAGCAGACAAGTCGCAGGCCCTGTGTTCCATTGGCTCCATGCCCGAGCTTGCAGAGGCCGCTGTGGCCTGTGTGGGTGAACCAGGCCTTTTCCCGGGTCTCCTCTGGCATCTGATTGCTGGGGAACAGCAGCGGCCCCCAACGCAGCCTCTGTGTTTCCATTTCTGGGCTGAAAATTAACTTTGAAAAAGAAACGCGTCTCGGGTTCATTCTTATCCAGGTGGTTTCTCATCAGTAGTGAGAGGGGCTCAGGGCTCAGCTGCTCCTCAGTTTTCTGAAACTCGACTGTGACGTGGAACCAGGTCCATCACAGGGCTCTCTTGGCACCCTGCTCGCCGATCCTGCCCCCGTGAGGCCACCTCTCCTCACAGCGTCCTCGCCACTGCTGCGGGACCCGGCTGCAGGCCCCTGCTCCTCCCTACATCCTGCTCTGATGGCCCCTCCATTTCTCTGGGACATTTCCCCAGCTGAGCCCTGGGACCCCTACCCACCAGCTGGTCACCATGGCTCAGGGCCTGGCGCTCACTCCCCTCACCCTCTAGTGGGACACCTGGGTCGCACTGGGTCTCCACAGCCAGACGTCCTACAGAGGCACCTGCCTCCCGCACTCCCACCACTAATACTGTCAGCTGGTAGGACCCCAGGGGCCAGCCCCTGCCACTCCCTCCTCCTGATAACCTGCCTGCAGAAACCAGTGAATGGGCAGGTCGGGGCCAGCATCACTTCCTGCCGAGCGCTGCAGACCCCACAACTCTTCCGACTCCCGTCTCATTCCACTCCTCCCCACCAGGCTCTCACTACATCCCAGAGCAACCTTTCTACACTTAGAACCTCATCATGCAGTGCTTCCAAGCACATCATCTGTCTCTGGCTTCCCACGGCCCGGGTCAGACCTAAAGCCCATCCAGATCTGAGCCCTAGGGCCAGGCAGGGTGGCTGAGTGGTTAGGAAACTGGGCTCTGGTGCCACAACACCCGCCCTCTTTTTTAAATATTTTATTTACATTTTTTGAGAGACAGAGTGGTCTTCCATCCGCTGGTTCACTCCCCAAATGACCACAGTGGCCAGAGCTGGGCCAATCTGAAACCAAGAGCTTCCTCCGGGTCTCCCACATGGGTGCAGGAGCCCAAGGCCTTGGGCCATCTTCTACTGCTTTCCCAGGCCATAGCAGAGAGCTGGAATGGAAGGGGAGCAGCCGAGACTCAAACCAGTGCCCATATGAGATGCTGGCACTGCAGGCAGAGGCTTAGCTTACTGCGCCCACCCAGCCACAGCCCCCTTGGGTGGAGCTGCAGCTTCATTGTCATGTTCCGGCAAGGCATCAAGCTTAGGGCTGCTCATCTGTCAAATGGGCGTAACTGTGCCCATGTGGTGTGGGGGTGGTGCTGCCTGAACAAGCAGCCAGCCATAGAGTATTTCCTGTGTTGCCTCATTTCGTAACCATGAAGGAAAGGCCAGTGATGGGGAGCAGGGCCCTGGGGACCAGATGGGCCAGGCACTGCCACTGCCCATTCACTGGACAAACCAGTGCCTGCGCCCTACAAGCCTCAGCTGCCCTGCCGTGAGGGGGCCTGCATTTCTCCCCCAGGGAGCTGCCAAGGGCCTGCACGCCGCATGATGTCCTGTCTGTATCAGCTGCCTCGGTGCCGCGGCTGCTGACCCTCACGGGCTCCCCTGCCACCACCGACCTCGCCCTCATTCTTCACACACCTGTCCACGCCAGGGCCCGCCCTCATGCCTTCCTGCATGGTGCCTGACTGGTGCCTGCTGCCCGACTGCCCAGGACCCCAGCTCACACCCCACTCTCCACCTCCGGTTTCCATTGATTGCTCCACCCCTCCCCCTCCACCGCAGGCTGCGCAGGCCAGGGAAGGAAGCGGGCGGGAGCCTCGGAGGGCTGAGGGGCACAGTGAGAGAAGGCTGGCCTTGCCCCTCTGTGCACACCTGCAGCGCTGCTCTCAGCGCTCCTCAGAGCCAGAGCAAAGCACGCACTTGGAAAGTATACAGGGAATAAATTCAAAAACGTATACATTTTATAAATGGATATGATTACATTTTTCAAACCATAGCAAAATAAACATACCTTAAAGTTTACCATCTTAGGCCACCACCTGTGATGCTAGCATCCCATATGGGCACCAGGTTGTGTCCTGGCTGTTCCACCTCCATCCAGCTCCCTGTTAATGGCCTGGGAAAAGCAGTGGAAGATGGCCCAACTGCTTGGGCCCCTGCCACCCACATGGGAGACTTAGATGAAGCTTTTGGGTCCTGGATTCATCCTGGCCCGGCCCTGGTTATTGCAGCCATTTGGGGAGTGAACCAGCAGATGGAAGATCTTCCTCTCTGTCTCTCCCTCTCTCTGTCTGTAACTCTGCTTTTCAAATAAATAAATCTTTGAAACTTTCCATCTTAACCACTTTGTATATAGTTCATTAGTGTTAGGTACATAATTTTTTAAAGATTTCTTTTTATTTATTTATTTTTTTTGACAGGCACAGTTAGACAGTGAGAGAGAGAGACAGAGAGAAAGGTCTTCCTTCCGTTGGTTCACCCCCAAATGGCTGCCACGGCCGGCGCTGCGCCGATCTGAAGCCAGGAGCCAGGTGCTTCTCCTGATCTCCCATGGGGTGCAGGGCCCAAGCACCTGGGCCATCCTCCACTGCACTCCCGGGCCACAGCAGAGAGCTGGCCTGGAAGAGGAGCAACCAGGACAGAATCTGGTGCCCCAACCGGGACTAGAACCCGGGGTGCTGGCGCCGCAGGCGGAGGATTAGCCAAGTGAGCTGCGGCGCCGGCCTATTTTTATTTATTTAAAAGGCAGAATAACAGAGAGAGGCAGAAAGAGACTTTCCATCTGCTGGTTTACTCCCAAAATGGCCACAGCAGCAGGGCCGGGCTAGGCCGATGCTAGGAACCAGGAACTCCATCCAGGCCTCCCACGGGGGTGGCCGGGGCCCAAGCCCTCGTGCCATCTCTGCTGCTTTCCCAGGCTCCTGAGCGGGGAGCTGGATCAGAAGCAGAGCAGCCGGGACTTGAACTGGTGCTCTGGTATGGGATGCTGGTGTCGCAGGTGGTGGTTTAACCCCCGCTGTGCCACAACGCCAACCCCTAAGTATACCCGTTATTGTGTGGTACGACCATCGCCACCGTCTGCCCAACTCCAAAAGGCCTTCCCTACAAAACTGAAACTCTGTACACAGTAAACAAAAGATAACCTGTGTGGTGAGATCTTTCATAGAACTCAAAAACAGAAGGACTGTTTACAAAGTCACCAAGCTCATCCCCCCACCCCGCCTGTAAAATGTAAATCACAAAACAGCACACCCTCCTCATACCAGGGGTGGGATTTCTTGTCAGTGCCCTTGGTCCACTCCTACAGAGTTGCCCTTCCAGGGGAGTAGGTTAGTCCGTGTACATGCTGTGTCTTTAAAAACCCCAGCTGTATTTTTTTAATATTTTGTAAATTATTGAGCATAAAAAAATCTGTTTCAAAGTGATTTTGCTACAGTTCTGCCTCTCAAAGGGCTGATTATGGAAACATTTCCTCTTAAGACATGGAACCAATGAACATAAATTAAGTAACACAGCCCCTTGATGAAATAATAAAAAGGAGATTATGTTCCCCAGGGCCAGGGGCTCTGAAAGCCCACCTCGGGCTGCAGACAAGCACGGCTCTGTGGAAGCAGGGAGGCATGCAAATCGCCTCACACCACGGAGACTCCGACACAGGCACAGAAATTGTTTGCCCCGTCTCAGTGGCCGCCCAGCGCAGGCACGACAGGGAAACCGAAAGGAGCTCCCAAGCCTGAGAAGAGAATCAGGACAGTGAGATGAGGGAATGTGCCCTCCCTACGCCTTGGTGTCCCGTGTCCGGGGTCAGCCTCTACCTGGGCACCGCGCTCTGGGCCTCTCCGCCTGCTGGCAGCCTGTGCAAGTGCTGGCCAAGGCTGCAAGAGTAGATGTGTGAAAAGATGTTACTGTGTGCTCGCTCACATGAGATCTGTGTGTTGTATGTGAAACACCACGTCAGGGCTGGTGCCGTGGCTCACTAGGCTAATCCTCCGCCTTGCAGCGCCGGCACACCGGGTTCCAGTCCTGGTCGGGGCGCCGGATTCTGTCCCGGTTGCTCCTCTTCCAGGCCAGCTCTCTGCTGTGGCCCGGGAGTGCAGTGGAGGATGGCTCAAGTGCTTGGGCCCTGCACCCCATGGGAGACCAGGAGAAGCACCTGGCTCCTGGCTTCGGATCAGTGCGGTGCGCCGGCCGCAGCGTGCCAGCCACGGCGGCCATTGGAGGGTGAACCAACAGCAAAGGAAGACCTTTCTCTCTGTCTCTCTCTCTCACTGTCCACTCTGCCTGTTTAAAAAAAAAAAAGAAAGAAAGAAAGAAAGAAACACCATGTCAGTAGAATTCACCAAAGAAGCCATAGGAGAGAATTCGATGTGAACGTAGGGATTGCATGTTTCTGTTCCCAAGAGACCAGTAACGCCCTGCAGGTGTCAGATGATTTAAATGGGAGTTGTCGGGGGGCCGGAGTCACAGCAGCAGGTTTGGCCACTGTGCGTGACACTGGCAGCCCCAGCTGCTCCACTTCTGATCCAGCTCCCTGCTAATGCCCTGGGAAGGTAGCGGAAGGTGACCCAGGTGTTTGGGCCCCTGCTGCCCACATGGGAGGCCCAGATGGAGTTCCAGGCTCCTGGCTCAGCCCCTGCTGTGGCGGCCATGTGGAGAGTAAACCAGGGGAAGGAAATTCTTTCTCCTTGTCTCTCCCTCTCTCTATATAACTGCCTTTCAAATAAATAGACTTTAAATAATAATGATAATCAATGTGGATTGTTTTCTTATCCAATGACATGAACATCCATTTCTCAAAACAGGAAAAGGATCCAAATGAAACTATGATGTAACTCATTCTTATCTCAGCCTTGTGATTCCTACGTGTTGTTTCTGTTTCTCTGTGATCCTTTTTTTTTCTTTTAAGATTTATTAATTTATTTGAAAGGCAGTTACACGGAGAGCACTTGGGCCATCTTCTGCTGTCTGTTCAGGCTCATTAGCAGGGAGCTGGATTGGAAGTGGAGCAGCTGGGACTCAAACCAGCACATTCTGCTCCCTTCATTTCATTCTGCTGTTGTTGTTGTTGCTAATTTGAGAGACTGAGACAGACAGACAGCTCCCATCAGCTATTCCACCCTCCAGATGACCACAATGGCTGGGGCTGGACCAGGGCGAAGCCATGAATCCAGAACTCAGTCTTGATCTCCACCCAAGTACTGGAGCCATCACCTGCCGCCTTCAAGGATGCACATCAGCAGGAGGCTGGAGGCAGGATCCCAGACACTCCTGTGTGGGACGCAGGATCTTGCCTGCTGTGTTAACTGGGAGGCCAAACACCCACCCCCAGCGGTCATTCTTAATTGTGATTGGACACGGAATGAAGAAGCAGTGCAGACAAACAGCAGTGGGGTCAGGAGGAGCAGTGGGGCACCGGAGTTGCCCAGGCTGAACATGATTGTCCTGCTCCCATACTCCCAGGTGGCCATGGCATATTCTGTACCACTCCGAGTCCACTTGCATTGTGATTACAAAGTGACAATGACAGGTGCCATCCCAGCTCTTGGCCTTCTTAGCCCTGGCCCTGGCTCTGTGTAACCAAGCCCCGCTGAGAACAACGCAGGTCGACAGTTTTGAGCAGAGGTCAGCAAACTCTGTGAAGTGCCAAGTAGTGAATCGTTCTGGCTGGGCAGTCCCTCTGTAGCACCTGCTCAACTCTGCCGCTGCAGCAAAAGCCATCTCTACAACCAGTAGGGGCCGGCACTGTGGCGTAGCGGGTAAAGCCCCAGCCTGCAGCGCCGGCATCCCACATGGGCGCTGGTTCAAGTCCCGGCTGCTCCACTTCCGATCCAGCTCTCTGCTATGGCCTGGGAAAGCAGTAGAAGATGGCCCAAGTGCTTGGGCCCTGCACCTGCATGGGAGAATTTCCTGGCTCCTGGCTTCAGATCGGTGCAGCTCCAGCCTTTGTGGCCAATTGGGGAGTGAACCAGCGGATGGAAGACCTCTCTCTCTCTCTCTCTCTGCCTCTCCTTCTCTCTGTGTGTAACTGACTTTCAAATAAATAAATAAATCTTAAAAAAAAAAAAAAACAGGCTGGCGCCGCAGCTCAATAGGCTAATCCTCCGCCTGCGGCGCCAGCACCCCGGGTTCTAGTCCCGGTTGGGGCGCCGAATTCTGTCCCGGTTGCTCCTCTTCCAGTCCAGCTCTCCGCTGTGGCCCGGGAAGGCAGTGGAAGATGGCCCAAGTCCTTGGGCCCTGCATCCCATGGGAGACTAGGAGGAAGCACCTGGCTCCTGGCTTCGGATCAGCACGGTGCGCCAGCCGTGGCAACCATTGCGGGGTGAACCAACGAAAAAGGAAGACCTTTCTCTCTGTCTGTCTCTCTCTCACTGTCCACTCTGCCTGTCCACAAAAAAATTAAAAACAAAACAAAACAAAACAAAACAACAGCCAGTAGGTAAGTGGGTGGACTTGTGTTCCAATAAAACTTTATTTACAAAGCAGATGGCAAGCTGGATTTGACTATGGGTTACATTTGCAGCCCCTGAATAAAGAAGCTGACCTTGAGTAAACCTGATTTCCAGAGGTAGATGTATTTGCCATATACCTCCTCTGTTCCTGGCAACAGAGCCGTTTTGTTGTCCAGTGTCCGTGGAACATATACAGCAGTTCAGTGACTATTAGGCCATCACTTGAGACCTCCCCAATTTCCATAAAAATAACACGGATGCTGGCTGGGCTGGGATAAGAGGAAAGATTAGGGAGGATGGCACAGGGGGACCCGGGTGCAGTGCTAGGACGTAACTTTTTCTTTTTCTTTTAGGTATGAAATAATGTACTCCTGCTGGGCCGCCGACCCCTTGGACCGGCCCTCGTTTTCCGTGCTGAGGCTGCAGCTGGAGAAGCTCCTGGAAAGCCTGCCCGAGGTTCAGGACAAGGCAGACGTCTTTTACATCAACACCCCTCTGCTGGAGAGCTGCGAGGGCCTGGCCGAGGGGCCCGCCCTCGGCTCGCTGGACCTGAACCTCGACCCGGACTCCATCATTGCCGCCTGCAACCCCAGCGCCGCCATCAGCGTGGTCACCGCCCAAGTCCACGAGCACAGGGCTCCGGAGGGCCGGTATGTCCTGGACGGGGGCGGCGAGGACTGGGAGGCCCCGGGCGCTTCGAGGGAAGACAGACCCGCCCGGAACGGGGCCTCCTGGTCACTGCGCAGCACGCTGCCCGCGGGGAGCCCACCGCCTGAGGAACTTGAGTTTGCCGATGACTCCTCCGGAGACTCGGACATCCCGATATGAGCAGCAGTGGCGTGGTTACAGCCAGGTTCGCTGTCCTGCCCGGTGTCTTCTTTCCAAGTAAAACGCCATGGCCCCAGAACACCAGCTGAGTGTCCGTCTTCACGTCCGTCTTCGTCAGAAATGCATAATATATATTTATTTAAGGAGAAGTGTATATGTCTGTATATGGTGGAAAGAGATCAGCATATTTTAATAAAAGATGACAACTCTTGCGGATCTTACCATTTAAGCTTCAGCTGGTCCCTGATACTCAACGTTTGTGCAAAGTTCTTTTTTTTTTTTTTTTGCAGAGTTTTATTTTTTAAAGTTCATCTCTTTTTTTTTTTTCATCTTTTTTTCAGCTATTGTATGTAAAAAAAATATGTATATACTGGTAAAATGAAATGCCATCTCTGATATCACTTCTGGTTTTGTGAGAAATGTGGTATTTTGACATGAATCGTGTATTGGATAAGAATGATGCATTTACTATTCGAAGTTTTCTGATTAGTTTTTTGAGACGACTTCCTAATAAAACATGGACGGGGGGAGGATGTGCTGAAATTACTGCACACGGCATGCATAGCTGTCACCGGTGGCCCCAGGGCCTTTGCAAAGGACTCCTTTCAGTGTGTGGGTCCCAGTGCCACTCCTGGCTTTGCTGTTGGGAGACAGGGGAAACCCGTTCTGGGAGTCCATGGACTGGTACACAGGGATCCTTAATGCCATCCGAGCTGCAAGCTACAGAGTAGAAGGGTCTGACAGGTGGCAGTGGGGCAGGGCACCAAGCTCACATCCCACTGTTGCCCGGGGCCTTGTTGGGTCTCGGGAACTCTCTGTGCACTGTCTGGTTTGTTCTGGACCCCGTTCTGCTACGGGTACCAGTGCTGCTGTGACGTGTGGCTCGTGGAGCCGCAGTAACCTGCCCGTGGTCCACAGCCAGGAGAGGTGGCGCCGGAATGCAGAGCGCCGGATCTCAGCCACAGCATCTTCAGGCCTGTTTGCTTCCCACTTGGGAGCAGCCTCTGAAAGCCTTCAAGGATCGATGTCGTCACAGGCTGCAAGGGTGCGGCCCGCACAGCCCGGTCCTGGCCTGGCTGCCAGCCTGGGCACCCCGATCTCCAGCGTGAACCAGCTGCTCTTACTGTGAAAACGTTCTGAGGGTTTGAAAAGAGCCTGTATTGTTACAAGAAATGCAAGCATTACATTTATTGGTGAAAGGGAAAAAAAAGTTACATCTGATAAAGATAATTTATACTGTTAAAAACTTTTGAGTGGTCATTTAAAAAAAAAATCAATAAAAAATTTTTATTACCTACCTGTGCAAACCAAGTGTCTTGTTGATGGTGACTACCAAGAATTTGAAGGACTCATTAGTATTTTTTTTAAACTTTTTGTTTATTTATGTTCATTTATTTGAAAGACAGAGAGACAGAGATCTTCCAGCTGTGGGTTCACCGCAGCCAGAGCTGGGTCAGACTGAAACCCGGGGTCCGCAATTCAATCCAGGTCTCCCATGTGGGTGGCAGGGACCCAAATACTTGAGCCATCACCTGCCGCCTCCCAGGCTGTGCATTAGCAGCGAGCTGGGTCCAAGGCGGAGCTGGGACTGGAATCCAGGCACTCTGATAGGGGCCTGGGAGTCACAAGCAGCCTCTGAATGCTGCAGCAAATGCCCACCCCCACTGGGAGTGTTTTTATCCTTTATACCCAGGCTGTACCCAAGACTCCAACTGCATGGGGCTGGCAAGGGAGAGCCCAGGCTTTATAGGATGACTCCAGTGTGTGCCAAGGCCAAATGTTGAGGCTCCCTGGACTGGACACAGGTGAGGGCTGTCACACCGCAGGCTGGGCAGATTCTTTGTTTTCCTTTAAGTGTTATGTGACAGAAGGTGAGGCAGATGGAGGTCTTCTATCTGTTGATTCATTCTGCAAATGTCTGCATGTGGGCCAGGCCAAAGCCAGGAGCCTGGGGGAGCTCCATCCTGGTCTCCCACAAGGGTGGCAGGGGCCCAAGCACTGGAGCCAGGGGTCTGGAACTGAATCTGGGTCTCCCACATGGGTAGCAACGACCCAAGTGCTTGTGCAATAACAAGATCAGAAGCACTGGGATCGGAAGCAGTGGGACTGGACCCCAGGTATCTCAAACAGCTGCTGGGTGCAGGAGTGGGCAGCTTCCCTCCTCTCCCATCCGTCTTGTCCCGGGGTGATGTGAGCCTCCTGCCCCTTTCCCCCATATGTGGGACTGGGAAGTCCGGTTTGCTCACTATCTTCTATGCAACCTGAGGAGGGCTGAGAGCCTGGGCCTGCTGTGCCATAGCAGGTGTAAGAGCTGAGACATCAACAAACCCAGCAGAACGCGTCCCTTCCTCTGGCACACGGCCACGTGCCAGGCGTTGGTTACAACAAGTGCAGTTGGAGGCGGTAGAGCTGACGACCTTGCTCAGCACCTGCAAATCTCGCTGAGGACTTTGGAACTCCAGCATTCTTCTCGGCCACGTCTGAATGTTTGACAGCTTGGAAAGAGCTAGCACAGATGATCCAGCCATTGGCAGACTCTGGTACTGACTTCTGAGCCGTCCACTGAAAATAGCTCTTCAGATTCTGTTTCCTGTAAACTCGAGTTACTTTTGTAAGTGGCTCTAAGGAGCAAAGAGTGGAGGAGGAGAGAAAACAGGAAGAAACAAGTCGAGTCATTGTCTTGAGCCAGGCTGGGACTGGTGCTGGGAGGTCAGGAGGACAAGGAAATAAACAAGTAGCAGAAGCACTCGTGACCCACAGGATGAGTGAGACTAACTGCCTGGCTCGCTCTCTCTCTCTCTCTTTTTCTTCCCTCCCTCTCCTCTCCTTCTGTCTCCTATTTCTTGCATTGCTTTCTGAACAGAAGGAAGAAGCAAGGAGCAGGGTTTGGAAACCCTGGAGAGCTCTGCCACCTGTGCTGGCCGCAGGGCCCAGGGCAGGGACCCGGCTGGAGCCAGTCCTGCCCTATCTCCTTAGGCAATCTCTGCAGGTCAACTGACTTTCCTTGAGCCCCCCCCCCTTTCCTCAAGTGTACAGTGAACAGATCAGTGCTCTCTCCTGCAACAAACAAGCACCTTGGGTAAAGAATAGGACCAGGGGCCAGCGTTCTGGTGCAGCGGGTTAAGCCACCACCTGTGACACCAGCATCCCGGCTGTTCCAGCTCCCTGCTAATGCACCTGGGAAGGCAGCGGAAGCTGGCCCAAGTGTTTGTGGCCCCTGCCACCCATGTTGCAGATCCGGATGGAGTCCTGGGCTCCTGGCCTCAACCTGGCCCCAGCCCCAGCCCCAGGCCCAGCTGTCGCTGGGAGTAAACCAGCAGATGGAAGACCTCTCGTGTAGTGCAAACCTACCCACGTTTGTCATATTAGAAATACTTTCGGGTTAGGCCTTCAGCTCATAGTTGAGATTCCCACGATCCACATTGAAGGGCCTTCGCAGCTCCAGCTCCTCACTCCCAGTGCTGATTGTGTCATCAACTCCCTCCAAAAACAACACAAATTAATTCAGCCATAAAATCTAAAAAGACAGGGGGAGTTCTGCTTCGGCCGGTGCTGCGCACAGTGGGGGAGTTCAGTGTGAGGGAGGGCGGTCCTCAGCCGTCACCACAGGCAGCTCCTGGCCGTCTCATCCTGGGCTTGAATTCCTGATGCTGGCCCCAGTGCCTCCCCCACCACCCCAGTTGGGCTTTGCCAACAGGATACAGGGACGTGAGGAGGGTCTCCGAGCCATCCCAGAACAAGGAGATTCTCTCTCTCCTTGTCTGGCCTCCAAGTCCGCCAGACCGAGCAGAGGTCCCCACTCGGGAAATGGGCCAAACCACAGTCTGGTATCTCCCAGGTCAGGCTGGTCCTGATTCATAAAAGTCAAGTCCTTTTTAACTTCTGGTCAATGACAACAGCCAGTTGGAACTTCTGCTGAGTCTGTGGGAAAATAACTGACCCCCCAAACAAACCAGCTACAGCAGCAACTTAACTTCTCTAAAGACACCTACTCACTTTGCTTGACGAGTGGGAAAACGGGAAGCTCTGTTTTCTTTAGGGCACATTTCAGTAAGGCACCGTGTTCCTATGTTGAGATTTCATTTTCTCTCTTTTAAAGTTCCAGACAAGAACAACAGCAAAACGACCATCCTACTGGACTTGGAAGACCATGTTTAATTACTTAACTCATTGGTAGCTGAATGTGATGATTATTTCTAGAAACTGTAACCACAGGCTGCTACATTAGAATATTTTCATGACAGTATCTTTTATTACAATGGGATTTGGTATATAGATCTTTTAAAGCAAAACTTGAGAATTCTCTGTAGTTATTCTTTTTTTTTCTTTTGACAGGCAGAGTGGACAGTGAGAGAGAGAGACAGAGAGAAAGGTCTTCCTTTGCCGTTGGTTCACCCTCCAATGGCCGCCGCAGCTAGCGCACTGCGGCTGGCGCACCGTGCTGATCCGAAGGCAGGAGCCAGGTACTTCTACGGGGGGTGCAGGGCCCAAGTACTTGGGCCATCCTCCACTGCACTCCCTGGCCACAGCAGAGAGCTGGCCTGGAAGAGGGGCAACCGGGACAGAATCCGGCGCCCCGACCGGGACTAGAACCCGGTGTGCTGGTGCCGCAAGGCGGAGGATTAGCCTAGTGAGCCGCGGTGCCAGCTGTAGTTATTCTTTCTCCTCCTAAAGAGCATGGTGACACACCTTCTTAGTAGCAACATATTCCAATCCTTTGCCCACTTTTAAATTGGGTTATTCTTTTATTGTTGAATTGTAAGATATTTTATATATTCAGGATATATATCCCTTTTTATAGAGCCTGACACTCTGTATTTTGATGACAATGATTAACCCACTCAGATTCAGTAACCTACTCACCCCTGGCTGCACAGCAAGCTTCATGAATAAAAGACCAACTTGTAAGCTCCCTGAACTTGGAATATATTCTATAAGTTGCCGATAGACACTTCAGCAATACGTGGAAGTCTTCCTGGCTAAAGAGACTTAAACACAACATTTGACCAACCACGGGCTTAGTAAAATGCTGTGTTGACCTAGGGGTGCCAAGTATAATTCTGAAAAAGCAACTGAGCAGGGATATCAGTGATCAAACACTACAGCAGAAACACAAGCTTCAGAATTCATTAAAGCAAGTCACTAAACAAACAAGCATACCCACTCGCTCCGGGAAAGGAGCACATCGGAGTAGATAAGATATGATCTCAGTTTTGACCAAAATACTTGAGGCACAGGCATTTGGCTTAGTGGTTCGGAAGCTCATGTTCCATCTCCGGGTGGCTGGGTGTGACACCCAGCTCTAGTTCCTGAATCCAACTTAATGCAGATCCTGGGAGGGCTCAAGTAATTGGATTCCTGCTACCCACAGGGGAGACCTAGATTCTTGGCTCCTGGCTCTGGAACCACTGTTGCAGATATCTAGGGAGTGAAACAGTAGATGGGAGAGCTGTCTCTGTATTTCTACGCTTGATTAAATAAACTAACTAATTGAAAATATATGAGGGGCCGGCGCTGTGGCATAGCAGGTTAAAGCCCCGATCTGCAGTGCCAGCATCCCATATAGGTGCCAGTTTTAGTCCTGGCTGCTCCACTTCCAATCCAGCTCTTTGCTATGGCCTGGGAAAGCAGTAGAAGATGGCTTAGGTCCTTGGGTCCCTGCACCTACATGGGAAACCCAGAAGAGGCTCCTGGATCCTGGCTTCAGATCAGCTCAGCTCTGACCGATGCAGCCATCTGGGGAGTGAACCATCGGATGGAAGACCTCTCTCTCTCTCTCTCTCTCTCTCTCTGCCTCTCTGTAACTCTGCCTCTCAAATAAATAAATAAATATTTTTTAAAAAATATATGAGACATGCAGGAAAATATTAGTCAATAGAAAGTGTCTCTGGGCCGGCGCTGTGGCTCAATAGGTTAATCCTCCACCTAGCGGCACTGGCACAGTGGGTTCTAGTCCCGGTCGGGACGCCGGATTCTGTCCCGGTTGCCCCTCTTCCAGGCCAGCTCTCTGCTGTGGCCTGGGAAGGCAATGGAGGATAGCCCAAGTGCTTGGGCCCTGCACCCCATGGGAGACCAGGAGAAGCACCTGGCTCCTGCCTTCGGATCAGCGCAGTGCGCCGGCTGCAGCGCGCCAGCTGTGGCGGCCATTGGAGGGTGAACCAATGGCAAAGGAAGAACTTTCTCTCTGTCTCTCTCTCTCACTGTCTAACTCTGCCTGTCAAAAAAAAAAAAAGTGTCTCTGAAGAGGCCTAAAAGCTGAATTTAGCAATTACTACATTATAAAGAGGTCTCTACTGG